CTGATTTTCCATTCGTCGTGTCTCGTTTACGCATGTGACTCTGCTGAGTGTCACCCTTTGCCTTTGAACGTAAAAAAAAAAAAAAAACACGTTGTACTTAAACGCGCGTCCATAAAGAACCTCGAATGTGCAGATAATTCGTTCGGTTCGTCGCATCTACCTTTTCTACAGATATCACGCGTCCGTGGAGCTCGGTTCGATGCAAATGTTGTATACATTTCGCGGCATCCTCGCTCGTCGACATGGTGACGTAGCCGTAACATCTTGCCCCGGGTGTTCTTGCATTTGTAACCACTTTAGCCCCGATTACTTTTCCGTACTTGGAAAATATCTGTTTCAAATCCGTAGCGCGAGTACTCGATGATAATCCGGAGACCCATAAATTTCTGCTACTTGCATTAACAGGACTGACCTGTGACGCCTTTTTGTCTACAAGATAAATATAAAAATAGAAATAAAATTAAGCTTATTATGTATGGTTTGTTTGTAAGAAGAAAAAATAAAAGATATACCTTTATCGTCTCTCTTCTGACTTTTGTTACCAGACTCCGCACTGAAAATAATTATTGATATTATTACAGCAAACGATCGTTAAGATAATTCTTATTAAATATGCAAGATAATATTACAAAAACAATGTCTTTTCTTTCGAGGCTTAATAAGTACCTCTGTAACTATGTTAAGTATATAAATTTGGCTAGCAACTTTTTCTTTTATCTGTAACATCATGAATATTGTCGTTTTTCATCATCACCATCGTAGTCATCATCATCATCATCATCATCATTGTCGTCGTCATCGTCGTAGTCGTAATCATCACCATCGTCGTCATCATCATCATCATCACCACCATCATCATAAGTATTGTCATTTTCAATAACGATAACAACAATAATAATAACAACAGTAGCGACAATCGTAATAATCAAGACACGATCTGGTATTCGCTTTGATGTACGCTTGTACATCGTTCTTACGACGATGTATTTACAAGTTTACTTTTAATTTACTATTACATATTATCAAATATTATATTTTTTATATATATATATATTTCGGTGTGGTCCGCATCAAGTTTTTCATCGTTCGTGTGTAACGAAAATGATGTCCGTGTGGACATTTTTTTATTGCGTGATCCATTTTACACGTACAAGTTATCCAGAGAAAGAGAGGATCTCCTTCGTGGTTCTTCCGAGAGGGTACTCCTTGTCAAGTTGTAACAAGTATCGATTGTTACGCGATATTATTAACTGGTAGTTTTCTTCGATGAATATGATTGCTTGATGTCGCGTTACGGCCCAAAGGCGATCTGCCGATTTTGGATAATTTATCTCGAAATACTAATAATCTTGCTATCATGCTTGATGAAACTGCTGTTTGTTTTATAAACGAATATCTTCGTCTCACAGTGAGAAGGGCAGCATATGAAACTCTGATCGGTAATCGTGGAGAGCGTGTAAACACCATTGGAAAAATATTCGTTTACAAATAAGAGAGTTTTCGTAGATGGACTCGGTTTAAGTTTGCTAGCCAATTTCTCGATTTCTTAACATACTTTCCAGAGTTATGAATTACAGCCTAAAACATACGAGCGAAAAAGAACTTCGTATGCGATTGAAAAAAAGGGAATAAAGTAATCTTGCGTGTGACTTGGACGAATAATTTCAGCTTGGGAATCTCCATCGTTCGACAGTATGTTATCCTGATGGTATTGTATGCGGCGGATACAGCATCGCTAGCATAGAGTTGTGTGACATTTCGTTGTCGTACCACTGTGAACCTTTTTAGCAATGAGAGACCAACCTCTTGCTTCCGTCTCCACCACCGTCCTGCTTGTTCTTCGTCCCGACGTTTGCACCTGATGTCGACCCTTCCTTGTTGTTGGCACCGGCTTCTCCTCTACTGCTCCCTTTAGTGTCTCCCTTCTTGTTCTCTTCCACTTTCTTCTTATCTCCTCCATCTGCAGAGACAATCAAGGTAGCATAGTCACTTTCTGCGAAGCCAGATTTCTTCTCCCTCCCTAACGCTCCCGCTTAGTGGCCTGTATTTCCTGCATGGAACTTTTTCCGAGCCACTAACAGATTGCGCAGTGAATTATGATGAAGATCACATGATCACAATATCACAAAATCGCTCTTCAATGGTATAATCCATAGCGACTCTACTTTGTCTTTTTTTTTTTTTTTTTTTTTTTCTTTCTTTTTGTTTCTTTAGAACGATTTAGAATTAGTACCATTTACACGTAACTATGGAATCGAAAGCCTAAATGAAAAGAAAAATTATAGGAAATATAGAGAATAGTAAAAGTGGAAGATGAATAGGAGGATAAGATAAAGTGATAAAAGAAAAAAATAAAAGAAGGAGAGACGCGGAGAAGAAAAAGAACGAGAAAGGATCTACACGTACAATAATATCATGCCAATAATTACGGAACTTTCGTAACAAAGTGACCGCGCATGAAAAATTTGTTTCAAAAAATAGGCTATTTAAAGCCTATTTAAAGTCCGTAGTTCGAAGGCATTGACTTCTCCGATGTGATAAACAATGTTGCATCATTAACTGTATATGAGGAAGATTTTTGGCTTGACATACACTTGAGTCTTCTTCTGTCCATATAATTTGAAGGTAGAATAATCCAACGATGCTCTATGCGGTTAGGTAGAATTAAATGTAAGTTTATATCAAACTCTAGTATTAACTAAACTTATAGACTAGCACTTATGGGATAAACTTTGTATAAAATTTGGATGACATAAACAGTATAAAAACACGTCGACGAATATACGTTTCGTTCGGATTGAAACCTCATCAATCCCCATCACGTAATACTCAGCAGTTAAATCATTTTATGCCATATTCATGTATCCTGCATGTATTTTTGTTCACAAATATAAAACTTGAAGAACCGTCATGAGTTGAAGCGCAACGTGCAATTTTGTAGAGAGATCCAGCACGGTCGACGGTCTGGATAGACGATGTGTTTTACACGCAGATAAACAAGTCCCTTGGTCTTGATGCCGCACACTTAAGTAACTCGCTCGTGACCGAAGATAAATGTACTCCTACGTTTATTCCTTGAAACCTTACATCTAAATAGAGTATTATAAAATTTAACATGCTCAAAAACTTACCCTTGTGCCTATCGTGTGATTCTGTCTGTAACATAAAAAATAAATACACATATGTACATAATTAGTGTTATTTTTATTCTTCGTTTTTATAACTATTCAAATTATTATTTAATTAATTTTCTTACCTCCTCAGCGAGGAGATTTTCTTCATCTTCCCCAATAGTTAGGTTGATGGAATCTTCGTTGTCGATACCATTAGCCTCGACGGTCGAAACTGAATTAGTTGGGATTTGATTTACCGCATTACTTGCTTCAGATTCTACTTTCTTTTCAACGACCTGGATAGTTTCGGTCAACGACTTGTTTAAATGATTTTTAAGTTCTTGTTTGTCTTCTATTTCTTTCTTAACGGCATTTTGAACTTCGCTTTGAGGTTCCTAAAATGATCTTTCTTTTACTTTACAATACAAGAGCTACAATATCCTTGTAGTTACATGCTATCAAAATTGTATTTATTCTTCTTAAAACAAATATACAGTTTCTTCTTACCTCTGTCTTCAATGCCATTGTATCCTCTTCGATATTAGGCTTTGTCTCTATCTTAATTTTTGTTTCATTAGTTTCACGTACTTCCACGGGTTCTTCTTTTATGCTTTCTGATACTTCAGTAGATTCTTCTTGATTTGTTGTACCAGTTACTAACAATGGAAAGAAATATAATTAAAATTGAACATTGAAAATTGATTATTTTTAATCAAGATAACATTTAGAATGATTTACCACTATTTTTCCTTGGGACAATTTTACATATTCCACCGCATGGTACTATCAAATATTCATCAGGATCTTGTCCTTCATCAGTTATAGCCTTAACAAATAATAATAATAATAATAAGATTATTATGATAGTTATAAAAAAGAAAAATTGATAAAAATTTGGAGTAAAATTTTTATATTAAAAATTATATTTTCACTATTCGTATATGAAAATAAATGATAAAGGTCTTTTAAAACCTAGAATTTTTAAGGTAAAAATGCTATCCTAAAAGTTGTATGAACAATTAATTTTTATCGCGACAAACATCAGGTATGTTTGCAACGAACCACTAACGGAATCAATGGGGTTAAAATGGCGACAAAACAACGAGAAGAAGTATCAGTAAAAATACGCAGAAGAAACAATTTGAAGGAGTAAGATGATTTACTTTGGAGAGACGTTCGAGAAGTGCTGCTTTATTGCCAGTTTTGTCCAATCCGCGACGTTCGAGCTCCGTTTTTAAGTCTATAACTCGTAGTTCGGTTAACTTTTTTCCTTCGATATCAGCCATTATTCTTGTAGAAAAAGTGTCCCACACAAGGCACGCTGATACTTCAAAATGTAGTTTTCTGCACGTAGGAAATTACGAACAAATCTTCATGCATACACTGAATATAAAATAACAGAATCCCGATATACAAATAAGACAGTTGAAAGATATTTTGCAATTACTGAACGAAAGTCAGGACAACACACTTCGAAACGAATAATCCATCGTAGTCGCCATTCGACGGAAATGACCGGAAGTAATTCCCGCACCAAGCAAGTAGAATAGCCAATCGCAAATATCAGGGATGCTGTTCCATTGGAAAATTACCAGCTATACTTTTGTTATTTTATAAATTTCCTAAATCAAAAACCAAACGAAATTTCAAAAAATGAAGATAAAAATGTGAAACACAAAATTTTCTTACTATATGCATCAGTAGTAGGTATTAAAATGAATACCGATCATTGTTTCCAGATATAGCCAGATATTCCTTCAATCACACTTCAATTATAAAATATTTTTTACTATACATAAAAAAATATCACATATATAAATATTACAAATATTTATATGCATAAATACGTATATAACAGTCACAGCCTACATATATATACATAGAAAGGAATGAATGTAACGTTGAAATTTCAATGACTTTATAAATCAAAGATTTCATACTCGCTCCTTACTTTCCACATTGATGAATCAAGTCATATCTTGTCACTGTTGTTATATCCAAACAAAAACTGTAATGTGATGTGTATATAGAGAAATACGTTCTTTTAAAGTGACAAATATAAGTTTTTATTAAAGTAAAACGCAGCAAATATTCTTACTTACAATATGCCTGTAAGTAACCGTTTTAATAATGAATTTTGATTCAACAAATTCACGTATTATGGTTAGGGCGTCTCCCTCAGTTTAACTGACATCAGATTTATAGAAGTTATTCATTTCTTTATTATAGGCGTATCATTCAAGTTTTGTGGAACATAATGGAAACATTGGTAACATGGCACTTTTGCCAATTAGAACACATTTCAGGGGACCTGCACCTCCATTTAATGGAAAGGATCTAGATATAATTGATGAAGCATTGTACTTTTTCAAAGCAAATGTATTTTTTCGAACATATGAAATTAAGGTAATGTTCTGTTGCACGAATTATAAATTAAATTATAGTCCTATCATGTAAAATTTGCATCCTAATGGTTTTATCATTTTAGAGTGAAGCTGATAGACTTTTAATTTACATTACATTATATATTACTGAATGTTTGAAAAGATTGCAAAAATGTGCAACTCAAGCTCAAGCAACAAATGAGATGTATTCTCTTGCTATTTCGAAGTTTGACATTCCTGGTGATCCTGGATTTCCTCTGAATTCTGTATATGCTAAACCAAATAATCCTGTAGAAGCTGGTACGTATTGTATCATTTTCAACATTGAAAACAAAATTTATTATAAAAACACCTTTTTCCTTTACAGATACCATGAGACAGTATTTGCAACAAATAAGGCAGGAGACAGGTGTTAGGCTTGTAGAGAAAGTATATGGAGAAGATGGGAAACCAAGTAAATGGTGGTTATGTTTTGCCAAGAAAAAATTCATGGATAAATCCTTATCTGGACCTGGACAATAAAGTATACTTTTCGATACTGTTCCGTGGGATACAGTGGATGAATACAAGAAGTTACTGTATGAATTTGATAAAATAATGAAACTTGTGATTCAAAATAAAACTTACAAAAAACCAATACACATAAATTGAGGATGATAACTGATGATTATTGTGCATCATATACTTACATATGTGATTAATCGATGAATTAAACTTATACACGTAATTTAAGTTTGTCTTCTTTCTCATATTTACTGGGAGCTGTTACTGATGTCATTTTTAAGAAAAAGATGTTTATTTCGCGCAGGATATACCATAATATTGATACAAGAAATTTTAACATATCAATGACATGATGTACCTCATCCGCGCAAAACTTAACATTAGAAATATTTAACTTTATCGCTTCCTGCGAAGCGATAAAGAGTTTCTTCTCAGCCATGCTGCACGACGCGAGCCACCGATAGTTTGTGAATAACGATGTCCCTTTCCTAAACCGCGTGAACTCCTGCCGGCTGACGTTTTTCCACGAAGTTCACGATGTTTATGTACCGCGTCGCATACCCAGTTAACTTTTGGATCGTTACGAATTGCCTAAAGTACAAATGATCGTAAATATTAGTTGCGTATCATTTTTTTTGTCACGCTAATAAAACATGATGGTCTTTTCCAATTCAGACATCCAAGGAAGAGTAAAAATCATGAATTATCGACACCAATATAATGATATCATCATTTTGGATAAACACATTTTTAAAAATGAGTTATACATCATAAAATTTACCTTATGCGCAGGATCGACCAGAATAACCTCATAGTATTTGTACGAGGAGTCCTGAGCTACCCAGTAGCTGTTTAAGACTCGTAAACCACCGCAACGACGACCAACACGTTCCTAAAAAACGCGATGAAATGATATGAATTTTTAAATTGATATTAAATAATGGGTGTAGAGGGAGGGCGCATTTTATACTAACTTCAGCAACTGATTGCAACTTCCTAGTTGGTTTCAACTGATTAACACCGTGGCTTTTGGGTTTTCCGTATGTTGCACCCTTTGGCACGGGACGTTTACGACCACCTCTTCGTACACGGATTCTAAATATTACAAAACCTGCGTATTCAGAAAATTTCTCATTTGATTTTTACTGCATTTGCAAAATTAACATTGTATAATAAATAATAAAGAGTATCAGTAGTATCGGAATACACGTATTCACCATGTAACTGTAAGAGTGGTGCACGGTACTATATCATCATATAGAATAATTATGATAGAAACTCAAAGTTTTATTAAAGAATCGTTATATATGGATACCTTGTTTGGCTTTATAGCCCAAACGACGAGCTTTATCGGGTCTCGATGGTCTGGGAGCACGATGCATTTTGGTTAGCTGGCGATACTGCCAACATCTGACTCGTAGCAAAAAGCGAAGCACATCGCTTTGCTTTTTGCGATAGAGCTCCTGCATATACTTGTAGGCACCCATCTCGAATCCCCGAGAAGACAGGAACGAACCTATGAACACACGTGAAAAGGATGAAAATAAATCGATGGACGAAAGATATTTAAAAATATTTAAAAATATTTAAGAATATTTAAGAAACAGTTCACTATAAAAGTATAAAATCTTAACAGACTTATCATGTGTTAACATGTACAAGAAAATAAAATATGAATATAGGTTAATTTTAGTGGAACAATAAATACATTTTCTTGAAAATAATATTAAAAATTATATGAACATTTTGTATAAACAAGCCTGGTAATGAAACTCCTTTGCTCGTGGGTGAAAAAAGTATACCGATTCTTGAAATAAATTACGATTTCCAACACGTTACACTCACCCCACGGAATTAGAACAGAAGGAAAGGAATGGATTTCCAGCGCATCGGTGTATCAAACCATTTTCAAATAAAATATTAAAGACGGTGTACTCGATGCCGTGAATATCGAAGACGAAGACATCTGTAGAGAAGAAAGTGCGTTAAACCTTTCTCTCTCAGACACCTGTCTGATGCTTGTGATCGTAAATACAATTTTGACTCCCTTTAATTCTGTTTCACAGAAATCAGGCAAAATCACCACAAGACTGAAAAATTATTAAAATAATTGTTTGAGAAACTTGTATCTTAAATAGACCACCATAAATTAGTTTTAAAATTCGATCTCAGCACCATCTATACAAAAAGGGCGGAAACTACTCAACAACTTACCGACCTTGTTTTCGGGAACACTAGCGCCCTCTTTCGCAAGGCAGTAGAAACCACTTATCGACTTATCATACGGTAGTCGGTAAATTGTCGAGTAGTTTCCGCCTTCTTTGTATAGGCGGCGCTGTGATCGAATTTTAAAAATAATTTATGGCGGTCTTTTTAAGATGCAAGTTTGTCAAACAATTATTTTAATCTTACAATTAATTTATAATCAACCTGTGACGCCATCAGAGATTCCATAATGAAACCTTCATCTGCTATCTATATTACATCGAAGCAATTCGTTGTTACTATCAATTTGCCTTAGTCTTTTGCAGTGCAAAGTGTTTCACATTTCTGTACTAAGATAGAGCAGATGACGCTCGTTCTTGAGGGAGAAATTCAAGTCGTGGCGCGGTTTTATTATCGAGCGACCCGGTGACCTTTGGTCTGGAAATTGATTATTTCAGAAGAGGTAGCGTGAATAAATTGGTAAGTCGATAAGGAGACGCAGTTCGCGATGGAGAGCCGTTCGGACAGTATAAAGGATCCAATTTATTATCCTTCGATGGAAGAAACAGGGGAGGGATTCGGTACAAGTACGGACGTCGAAACGGTGGAAAGAAGCAGAAGTTCCGCTGGTAGTCAGGAACTTGGTCTTGAAGAAACTAACGCGTTGAAAGTACCGCGTAAATTTATCACTAACTGGCGACAAGCTTGCGATCGTACTCGCGACAGGACAAAGGATTTACTGAAGAGGTGGCGTACCGTTTCCAGCAATATCGACCAAGTTATTGCCGTTCCAGTTTCTGACAAGCAACTAGAACAACATCCCAGTTGGAGCGTACACGTTTGGAGTAAGCTCTAGCAACTGCCTGTTATAATGCGAACGTTAGGCAGGGTATAAAAAACGTAAAAAAATAAAATACGTAAATTCGGGAATTATTTAAAGATTATTTACGTATTATGCTTAAAACTCTAAATTAACGAAACACCTTTCTTTCTTTCCTTTCCGTTTTCGTTGTTGTTTGCCTTTTGTTTTCTTGGTTTTCCTTCTATCATTGAAACACAGCAACATGGGTGAGTCGGTATCCCAGCGACGAGAATCTGATCGCTCTGGAAAAAGCTACGAAGGAAGGAAAAATAACAGATCTAGCAACCATTCAACGAGACAAATTCTCTCATTTTTTCACTTACCTTCTGGACCACGATAAAGACGGTTTCGTTAACAGGAAGGACTTTAGGATGCTTTCGGAGGTAGCTATATACAAATAACTTTCCACATATTTTAGAATAAAAAATAAATAAAGAAGATCGCTTTTCGAGACAGAATGTTTTATGTTTAAAAGCGATTGAGAAGATTCGCGGATTGGTCGTGGAACGGACCCGAGTATTTACGATTGATGGAAATTGAACAAGGATTAGCCGAATTGATTCTTCAGGAAAAGAAATTCGAAGGAGACGAAGGAAAGAGGATCAGTTTGGAAGAGTGGTTAACCTGGTGGGCAAAAATCGTTGCACCACCCGGTGGAGTAGCATACGAGGACGTTCCTTTCTGGCTGAAAATGTTGCCGAAAATATTTTTCCTGGCTATCAATAGCTCTGCCACTGGAATCATTTCTAAAAAAGAACTTGGTTCTTTTTACGGATCTGTCGTTGGCCTGGATTCCGACAGGATTTCCAAGTGCTTGGACATCGCGTATAATTCATTGACATCGGTAAACGTTTACTGCTATATCGTCTCGATTTAAACTTATCGTTAATCTTATGATAATACGGTAATATAAAAGGATTATTTTTGTGCCTTCTTTAGAACGGGGATCATCAGCTGCGTTGGCCACAATATCAACTCGCATTCGCCAACTTCCTCTTTGGTCGTGGCCCTTTTGGTCCCGGTGAACATTTCCTTGGTATGACGGATTTCTGCGTAAATCGAGGCAACGACGTACCATTTCCGATCGATTATTCCGCGATGAACACACCGAGGGATAAATTGGAAGTATACAATCCACACCTCAGAACTAGTCGGCGCAGCGTCGTAGTTTGAAACACGGACGAGACGTTCAATGAAGCGTAGGGAGGGCTTCATTGTTTCAGATTTTCACTTTGGCAGACCGCGTTTTCGTGAAAAGAAATCTGCAAAAGCTGTTGCCTCTCAACGACGATCAATAAAAATGATCTAGTTTCGGAAAACTTTTTTCTCTCTTTTTTTTTTATTCCGTACTTTGGAGTATAAACGTTCTGCATAGAACGGTTATAGTTGCGTAGAGGTTGAATTATCTACAAAAGTAGGTTAAAATATGTATATGTGATTTTTGGTGGAAAAGAACATCCACTGTAATTTGCCGCGAGTCATAATACATGTAACGTAATTATTAGAAATATGGCATAACGAGAAATGAATCGCTTTGTAAATGATTCGCTTGTCCTACAAATGAAACAGCGCGTCGAGAAGGAAAAACAACAGACAGTCTAAAACGATGATTATCCGGCAGGATGCAGGATCGAGGATCGACAATGATTCGATAAATGCACCGTCTATTCGGTCGTTGAAGTTTCCGATGAATGACAAGCGTCGATACGTAAGAATTTGAGGTCATCGAGACAAGGAAAGGTTTTCCTTAGACGGTTTTCGCCCATACTCCTAGTACGAACGACTCAATCTCGCACTCGTTGGTGCCTCTTTGAATTCGAAAGAGGCCGTTCTCGCCCCACATGTAACCCCAAGAGTTGACGACCAGCTAGAAAGAAAAGAAGACGATTATACGATAAGCGATAGGATTTTCCTTCGCTTTCTTTTCTCCTGAAAAGAAGAAAGCGAGGAAACCTACCCAATATTTAAGCGGTGGATCAGGAGGATACATGGAAGGCTCTTCTCCCCATCCGATTATTCTAACCGAGTGGTAGCCAGATTCGTAGAGTTCTGAGGTCGTCGAGTGCTTATACACTCCCGATTCGTAGGAGAAAAAGTCTTGATAGACTCTCATCGTAGCTAGGAAGGTTGACAGTTTGATTAATATCTCACTGATTGATTCGTACGATCGATTAAAAAGTAGTTACCTTGGACAGGCCCCGAGGTGAGAATCTCTTCCATAATGTCGGTCTCGTTAGCGAGCCGATAAGCTGGTCCCACCTTGTACAATTCTGTACGAAGGGGATTCTTTGGAGGGGCGCATCCGGCGCCCATTAAATCGGTTCTCTTTCGAAGTCGGCATTGGTCATTGCTTGCTCTCCACGGATAGCAGTGTTCGTCGACCAAGCTGGAAGACGAATTGACACACGGTGAATTGAATATATGGGTGTTGAGAAAGTAAATGAAATTACCCAAATTTGCGCATAAACATCCAAGCTCTGTCCAAGTGACCACCGTTGCAGCCTTGTTGCCCTCTGTTGTTGCATGAAAGCAAATGTTGCGCGCTGAGAAGAACGCTATCGGCGCCTTTGCTCATGATCGCGAATCTATCGGATGCTACGTGGGCGCTGGAAATGGCCCAGGACGCACCGCACCATCCTTGATCCTCGATATCCGATATGTCTCCTGGCCAACGGTGCCTGGCGTCGAATTCGCGGGGCAACGATTCCGGATCGTAAATTCGTTGCACGGCATTCATCCGGTAGACCTTTCGAATTTCGAACGATCGATTTGATAAAAACGTACGAATCAACTTGGAACAGGATTCACCTGTTCGCTTCTACCTGCTTGAATACTTATCGCGAGTAGTTATGAAATCGAAAGGTCGTAGGTACTTACCGATCGCGACGGGTTCAACGTGCCCAGGCGAAGTTGCACGCCTTCCTTTAACGTTCTACCATGGAATTCGGAATAGTTTCGAGCCTTCCACTTCAACGACGGGCTCATCGCGTTGATCTCTTCGATCAGTTCTCGCTCTTGCAAGCATCGATTCTGCTCGCAAAGTACCTCCGCGCGTCTACCAACTGAGGTACATTTGCTGGAAAGAAAGGGGAGCAAAAGTTGGTACCGATAGACGAAGGGTTAACGTGACAAGAAGAGAAAAGAAAGATATAATGTACCACAAGTTGCAGTTGTCTTTAAAAGCTTGACCGTGAATGTAGTACTTTCCTTTGTACAGGCATTCTGCAACGAACATAGAATATTTATGTAGTTGGTAAGAAAAGATGAATCGAAATGAAATTTCGTTAATTACGAACGTCTAAACTCATCGGGCCGCGATGTGGTGGTGACGTTAGGCTCGATTCCTTTACAGTGGCTCCAGTAATCCGGGCAGCAGTCCTCTTCTCTGGGCCGATCGCAGAAATCGTCGCAGTAACATATCGTTGTATGAATCGGGGCGCTGCATTCGTCCTGACGATCCGGGCAACACCTGCCCTCCGGGAATCTTTCGGCACAGTACGGCCCGGGTCGCAGCCCCGTGAAATCAGGCACCCCTTTTACGATCGACAACAGCAGAAAGAAAACGATGCTCCCGAAGCTTTCCCACGATTGCATTTTCGTCCGGTTTGATCCTGAAAATCGATTAAACTCTCTGGCATTTCGGCTCGGTGAGACAACCGATAGCTTTAGCAAGCGAAATATCGCATTCTACGTATAACGCGGTTGTAAAAGAATGTCGAAGGTCGCCCCGGCGATTCATCGTTTCTTCTCGTTACATTTTATTCTACTTTCGTCCACCATCCACCGCGTACGTGATATTCGGTGGCAAATGGCACGATAACGGTGTCAAGTCCACGCGACGAGCCTTTACGAAAACGCGTCGTCCAGTCTCGTGTTTATTGGAACCGCTTCAAACGATTCCAACTTCTTGTTAAATGTCACGCGCATAATTTGTCTCGCAAGAAACAGGGTGGAAGAGTAGACTGCGCTGACCGTGAAACGATGGAACCTTGTGTAACGAGGTCGCGCGAGTATCTTTCGAACGAAGCCGACGACGAAGACGGCGTCGGCGTCGGCGGACGGACGTGGTTATTGAACGTATTAGAATATTAATAGAATTTACCAGACTGGAACATATCTCGTCTCTAATATTTACCTACCTACAATAGTAAAAGAGCTACGAACGTGGGTGAATTTTCGGTTGATTTAAAATGGTCAAACATGAGATAAGAAAATGGCAAACTGGCACGACTCGCGTCATGAATCTAGAAGCAGAATTATAAGTTAGCACGCGCGCGTTTCTGAGCGGACGAACAACGATCTTGACCCGTTTCTTGCCATTAGGAACAGACTGGCAACGCGCATCCATCTTTCCTATCTGTCTGACCCTTTCTGCAATTAACGAAGATCTTGCTGAAACGTTTTCCTACTCCAAGCTTATATCTTCAACGACTAGAAATGTTCATAGGGTATATATAGAATTTAGTACGATTTTAACGTGATTTACCGCGAAGTGCGTACTCTCTCGTAATCGGTGAGTCATCCAACTTTGAAACTCTGAAGAGGCTGGCCCGAGTGTTACCGAAACTAACGTTGCTGCCAAAAAGAAAAAATAAAGAACGAAGGACACGAACTAGAATCGAAATAATAATCCTGGCCGTGAAAGTGAGTAAACAATTGCAAAGTAGATACATAGATAATTTCGATTAGAAGAGGCAGCTGGGTACAAGGAGTAATTGTTCTTGGATGTTCCGTAAGGTTGACGTCAGAGATAGTATTACTCAATGAATGCAGTCAATGGAAAACTATGCAATCATTTATCGGCCGACAAGTGAGACGGATTGTTCGACGAACGATCCGGTGCTTATGATTTAATTCGGAGAAGCGATACGTAGGTATGTGTCCGATTTAATCAATTTCCATGCCAATTAGATCACTCGTCAATCATAAATACCGACTGGATAATTGATTTTTTCAGCCTTCTAAATTCTCAACAAAATGATTAACTCGAACATCAATCAAAATATCACGCTATTCGAATGTGATGAATGGATCTTTGCTTTGAAATTTTGACGCTACCTTGTTCTCGTATCTTATACATACAAATACGAGCCTCTATCAAAGAACATCAATGACGAATGTTTTTTTTTTTTTCGTTCGAGGAAATAAGTGATCGTTATCGTTGATTCGCGAGACGATTCCTACGAAAGTACATACGTTCGAATCACGAAGATCTATATTTGGATCGCGCGTCATGCGAACGCGCTCGAATCCTTCGAAATTTGAATCACTATTTTATAGGGGACCGGTATAATCGAAGGTAGAAGCGCGAATACATTTATCGGTTACAGTTTCAGCAAGATCGGCAGACGGTGCTGCTATTTGTCTCGTTTCGAAACACCGCGACCTGACTTTCCTTTATCTTCTTCTTAAAAATAATAAAAAGTAGGTTAATTCGCGAGGAACATAGCGATCAAACAAGCCGTTCAACGATACGGTAACGATGAAAGATAGCAATCAAGGAGAATCAGTAAACACGATGACATAATAAAGTAAGGAGAGATATCAAAGTTGCTGGATCGTCGTTGTCGGTATACTCGAAAACAGCTGGTTTGTTCCTAGACGCGGTACACTTAAAATTCCAACGAACATCGATCTAAATTCGAATCCGAATCTAAATCTAAATCTACATCTAAATTGACCTGTTGAGGATCTCGAAACGCGGCAAAGTCGGCTCCGTTTCGTTCGCGATTAAATCATTCCTCTCCTTTCAAAGATAGATTAATTTCGGAAACGTTACGAGAATATGCTTATACATACGCGCGTATAATTATAGCGATGCGTATGCAATCGTGAATCGTTTTTTAAAAAAAAACGAAAAAACGACTAAAAACAATGTAGGAAAAGAGGTCACGAAAACACGTTGGCGAGATCGTATATTTTTAAGCGGGTTTCAACGTTTCGGGAGCGAGATCTTTTTCGGATTTATGTGTATCGATAAAACAAACAGGAACGAATGAGCCGCGGAGAGCTCGACTGATATTCCAGCCACGATTATTTTTATAGTGTTATCCGAGAACTCGAATCTTTCGACTTCGGAGGGAAACGAAAATTCAAATCTGCCCGGTGATAAAGCGTTTCCGGTATCGAACGGAATTTTCTTCTACGACGATTCATTCGATATTATAATAATAATAATAATAATAATAAATTTATTATCGACAGATACTTCTCGACTCGATCCGATCGGTCCGATTAGGTGAGTCGTTGCGTGCCAATTAAACAACGTAACTCCTCGATAAAACGAGAAACGTTTCCTCGAAGAAATTTTTCCTGATATCGATTCGATCGTTTCGCATGAAAATCATTTGAACGATTTATCGAACCTCTATCTCGATCTCCTTGCGCGTTTTTCCATCCGTATTCTCTCCCTTTTTATTCCGCTCCGTCCTTTCCTCTCTTTTTAATCTGTTTATCACATGGCGCGCCAATGCTTATACGCGATCTTTCAAATTGTTCGCGCTAAAAATAACGCGAACGTCATATTAACGCGTATGCGCCCGTTGTCCCAAATTCCAATCGTTCTTTCTGCGTTATGAATTCAATTTTAAGAATCTTTTCTTTCTATTTAGATATCGATGAGTTTCGAAGAACAACAAGTACAAGATTGCTATTTCTTGATGTTTCCTTCTCAGATAAGCGCCTAGTGTATTATGTTCACGTTACGTTTACAAACTGTCAATTATTAATTGGTAGTTAAATACAGGGCCAACTCTGAGATTTCGGGGGTCCGAAGCGAGCTCCGAAAAAGGGCCCCTTATAAAGCTTGTATAACTAATTTAGATTCAAGTAAACATTACTCTTCTTGCATTCTTAAACGCAAAATCGTCTTATGGGAGCCCTGATTAAATAGCATCGAAACGATTTTGGCGTAATACGTAATTGCAGGTAACAGTAGTACTCTGAATGAAACAATAAAAGAAAGGGAATGTAATTTTGAGTCTCGTCACGATGTGCACGATATACATAAGAGGCTGGCGGAAATTTTTATATTCGTAACGAGATGCTTGTTCCGGACGTGTCTCGAATCGTTATCGATAAATCGTAAAGTGAAAAAAGCGTTTTCGCAACTCGCGTATATTTCGTATCGTATAGTTTCATTTCAGTTCACGAACAGGTATTTCTCGTTGATACTGTATCGCCAATTATTAAAACACATACACGATATAGGTGTTAAGGTGTTTTTATAATTGCGTACCAAGATAACATATAACGTTGAGGAAATTCTGCCTTGAATCGAGAGATCGAACGGTAAGAATCAAACTTCGAACTTGAGCGGATAATGATTAGGTGTATACAGCCGTGGCGACGCGACGCGTCGCGACGCAACGGGACGCTGTAAACTGTAGACAAACGATCGCGTTTATGGAAACATCAATTTTTTCAAAGCAATTTACTTAAAGTGCAAGCATTAGCTGCAATTAGATTCTCTAATGATTACTCTATTAATATAACGCAACACGATAAAATTTTCATTTACGTATTCATCGAGAAAAAAAAATCTAATACTTTGCGTTTACGCGCATTAAAGTATATCTTAACTCTTTGATAGCCGATTTTACATATTTATGACTTTGAACTGCTTCGAATTTAATGCATTATTCACTAACTAATGTGTAATCCTATCGATGGTTTTCTTTTAGATACAGATAAAAATCATAAAGTTACGAGAGTCTTAAGTACCAGGAAATAAATGGCGGTTAAATATGTTACGATATATTTCTTTCGCTTACCCGTTGTGTCACTTGCTGTTCAGTGCTTAATCCAGGATTCTTGAGATCCAAAGCAATAAATATTAGAAACTTCCTTCACGAAGATAACGCGCTCAAAAAATTTTCATATGTTCTCTGTTGAGTGCGATAGTGGGGAATTTTAAAGATTCGATTTGATAAACGAGATTGAAAACAAAAAAGATAACACGAGAAGGAAGAACGTAGGTGCAAATGAAAAAAAGAAAAAAAAGAAAAAAAAGAAAAAAAAGAAAAATGAAGGATGTTAAAGGAATTCACATTAGCAAAGTAGAAGTAAGTTTAAAGTCGCGACAGATTCGCGATCGGAAAAGATTAGAAGGGTATAAAAGTCGGTGCTGGCGGCTCGAAAGCACGAGCCTAACTGGCCCGTGAACACACTAGGTAAATGCGAACTAAATGTTAGCGTCTCGCAGTACATCGCGTTTCGGTTTCCTCTCGTCTTCTCGACGGATCTCCTTACGAGTACTTCCGTCGGCATTCGTCATTCCTTGAATAAGTAAAGGTCTCTGATTAAATTCATTCGCGATCGTGAAACGACGCATCTCCGCGGTATCATCTTTTGCCAACTTATACATTCAACTAATCTACTAATGTTCGTTCCTCTTTGCTAAGCTGATAAATTTTTACTACTTTTAAAAATTATCAACTTTCTCTTCAAAAATTGAAACCACGTCTTTCATATTATTTTTCTCTTTTTTTCAGTGTGAATATAAAAAAAAAAAAATGAAAAAAAAACCTGGGCTCGTCCGGGATTTGAACCCGGGACCTCTCGCACCCTAAGCGAGAATCATACCCCTAGACCAACGAGCCACGCTTGCAAACTTTTCTTAATCTACTTAAAATAATATCATTCTTGATACTACATTTTTTTTCATTATAATTACAGGATTTTACTTGTAACTATTCACAATTTATAATATGTATGTAACAATAAATTCAAAGTGTTCTTCGAAAAAATACATTAATCATCGTACGTTAAACTAAATAAATAAACTTTAACTTTAAACATTTTAAATTTGCGTTTTCAAAGAAATATTCAAACAAACAAAATTATTTAATTCGAAAACTATTTTTTAATCTATGTAAACGATTAGTAAGAAACACCTCTCAAGAAGGCGCCGTGGCTTAGTTGGTTAAAGCGCCTGTCTAGTAAACAGGAGATCGAGGGTTCGAATCCCTCCGGAGCCTGAAAAGTGTGTTTATTTTTTTCCTTCTTCCAATCAATTATAATTAATTTATTTTCAAGGAAAATGCGTATTATCTTTTTAAAACACGATTATAGTTAAAAAGAGAAAAATAAGATGCAAGAACTATTATTCACATAAAAAGAAACTTACCATCTTTTCAACATGTCTGTTCCCTTACTCTTGCCTTCCATCACTTTTTCATCTCTCTATCTCGGAATTGAACTCTGAAATAAGAATAATTACCTATTAAAATATGAAAAATACGTATGTATATGTATACGGGCATACATATAGGGTAGAACGTTTGCGTGATCGATATGGAACAGATACTCTATGGTGACGAGAATACTTTAAACATTGGATCTCAAACGATATTTCTCGTATCTATTCGTTCTTTCAAAGAAGTATGATCGCTAATATCATCGAATAGAATCAATTTGCAAAGTCATGGGCAATACGGAGAGCAACGTAGCTAGCGGAGTGAAGAAACAGACGGATGCTTCGTCTATCTTACTTTACAAATTGGTCGATTTAAAAGGTAAGAGTTGAAACGCATGTAGAAAATATAGAAACAAGTGTATCGCATTAACAAGACCGAGGAGAAGTAGCTAAAGACAGAGGAAAGGTTTGACGGCTGTAACGGAACTCGATTCTGAAACAGGTGGTGGTTTATTAGTGGACATGATGAAAAGAGCAACGCAAACTAAACAGTACGCTGAACTAGATCACGCTCTAAGAACAAAAGTGGAGCCGTATTTATACAATAAGGGTAAAGGTAAATGGATCCCGATTGAAAAGTTGGTGTTGCTACGAAACAAGGATCGTCCGAAGCATAAAATGGTAAAAAGTTGAATCGACCGTGCGACAAATGTAAGAGTAAACGAATTGTAAATTTTACTCGTTACAGCTTCCACCATTAAGGGCTATGGAAAATCCGGCCGATTACGATATAGACAAAGATATGGGCGACGAAGAAGCGGACGAAACGAAAATCGGTAAGAATCGATAGGTGTACGTAATTACATTACGATAGGTGCATTACATTTATCAGATAAGAGCAAGTACAGATTGGTCTGCTGGAGCTTGGGCGAAAGAGGAGCAGTCGGGGAGACGATTTTTCATTTATGTATGTTACACGCGACTACTATTCACATCGACCTGGCTAAACGTTTACTACGTTTTTATCCTAAGCTGATCAACGACGTTTACATCAGCGACGAGTATTACGGTTGGTTATTAACAACGTATTCAAAACGTATTCGCATATAATCGTTTGCTCTTTGACAGGCGAGAACGCGTTACACATCGCTATAGTGAACGAAGATCCAGCATTGGTAAAGTTCCTCCTCGACAGCGGTGCGGACGTGCACGAAAGATGCATAGGAAATTTTATGTCCCCGGAAGATCAAAAAGCATCGAGATCGGACAGCCTCGATCACGAATGGGTTTGCGTAGCTCCCGAAACGGATTACAGCGGGTAATTACGGCTAGAACTAAATTTTCGCTCTCGCAACACCCTTCGCACGTGTCTACTTGTTTTATCGTGTACGCGTAGGTACGTTTATTGGGGCGAATATCCTTTGAGCTTCGCTGCGTGTTTAGGGCAGGAAGAATGTTACAGACTGATACTTGCCAGAGGGGCAGATCCCGACAAACAAGACACCAATGGAAATACGGTTCTACATATGTTGGTGATCTACGAGAAGTTGGTAAGCTTTCCTCTAATCTAATCGCATCGAAAGCTCTTAATTAACGAAAACTCTAAATTGATTCGTTTCGGTTGGAACAAGACCACTTTCGATATGGCGTACGAGGTAGGTGCGTCGTTGGCGATTAGAAACACGCAACATTTAACACCGTTGACGCTGTCGGCGAAACTGGCAAGGATCGAAATGTTTTTCCACATCTTAAATATCGAGAGGGAAATTTATTGGCAAATTGGCAGCATCACATGCGCGGCTTATCCCCTCTCGCAAGTAGACACCATCGACGTTAACACCGGCAGCATCAGTCACAACTCTGCTTTGAATTTGGTGGTATTCGGCGTGAGTTGATAACTATCTTTGCTGCTTTCCTTTTATCCGCAGATACGAGGTTTCTCTTTTTTTTAGGAAAAGGACGAGCATTTGGAACTTATGGACGGTATCCTGGTTGATCTGTTAAACGCCAAATGGAACACTTTCGTCAAATCTCGATTTTATCGTCAATTTTTCCTCTTTTGTTTTTACTTCATCTTGTCCTTGATCAGCTTCACCCTTCGTCCTGGTCCATCGGCTATGCCATCGAGCTCTACGACTACTCAAACTCCTCTCACAACCGTCGAATCGTCGACTACACCGCACTCGTCTGATCTTCTTTCGAATTTGATTCCAATGACTGATCGGAAAATGTTTCATAATTTGAGTCCCTCGGTGTTTGTTAACGAAATCGTAGAAAATGCTTTAATTTCTAATTTGAAGTTCTCCTTGAATGTAACAGCGTCTCGCTTGGACCAGCTAAAACTCGATCTCGTAACCCACATAATGTCTAGTCTAAAAAATCTTTTGACTATTATCGAGAACGAGACTGAAAGCCAACCATTTAACGACTTTAGTCGGCAATCTGCCGTATTTACCGATCATTTGCACCACGAAAATGATACTAATACGAGTACCTTCGTTACCATTGATTCCACAACCAAACTGTTATTCGATGATGCTGTACTGCTCGATAACAATAATAAGAGCAATTGGTATGTAACAATGGATTGTGTGAGAAGGATGTAACTTAAGAGTTTCATTTTTCTTATTGAAAAATTCAAAGAAGATGAAACGAAATCCTTACACGGTTTCCTTTTTACTCTTTTTTCAATAAGGTGGGACCATCTTACCAAAGAATGCCGACTGATGCAACTGACCACAGTATCTGCGAATATTCGATTAATCGCTGAAATATTCATGGAAATTGCGGCTATTCTCTACATTATTGCAGCGCTACGAGAAGCCAGGTTTCTAGGTCTCAACATGTTCATCGAAAATCTAGTAAGGAGACAAGATTCTTTCTTCTTTCACCTTTCGTCACCGTTTCCACCGTTCTTGATTATTTAAAAATTTACCTCGACAAAAGCGTCGTTACAAATTACTGATACATTAGTAATGAGGGTTGTTAATTTCCAGATGACTGCACCATCGAGGGTAATGTTTCTCTTCTCCTGCTGCATATTGTTGTCTTTTCCATTTTTGCGATTATCCTGTGCCGACGAAATGGAAGATATGCTAGCAGTAGTGGTAATGTTAACCACAGCACCGTATTTTTTATTTTTCTGCAGAGGATTTAAAACTGTCGGCCCTTTCGTTGTAATGATCTACAGAATGATCACGGGCGATCTACTTCGATTCGTATCCATCTATTTGGTGTTCGTAATTGGATTCTCCCAAGGTAAATCCAACACCTGGATCATTCTGATAAAATTTTCGATCGAGACACCTTGCCGATAATCCTTCTACTAGTAGTCGATACACGTTTTCATTCTATTACGATCGCTACTCTTCCTTGGCCTGAAACTTTTGGCACGCGATAAAAGATACCTGCATTTTACTTTCGCACGTAGATCACGGTTAAAAATAAACTTTAGATCGGAAGATAACTGATCAATTAAATTAACGTACGAAGAAGTACACACAGAAATTTGTTTTTTTGTAAAATTATTAAATAAAATCAAGTAGTTGTAAATTAATTTGTATAGCTTCTCGAGAAACCTCAAGTTATTTGGTCCAATTTTAAATGAGGTATTCTGTTTCAAACGGTGTGCGAATACTTTTTTCTATAGCTGTATGTAAATATTAAACAAATTCTACATCATTATTTAAGTGTCGCCTTTCATTACAGCTTATTACATTATATTTTTATCTTTCGACAATCCTAATACACCAGAAGGTGTGGACGATTCGATAAGCAATCCAATGCCATCGCCGATAGAAAGCATCATGGCAATGTTCCTTATGAGTATGACGAACTTTGGGGATTACTATGGTGCGTTTGAGAGAACTCAACACGAAATGGAAGCCAAGGTGATACCTTCCTATCGCAATCAAACTTCTGTTCACCCTCTATAACAATAAACATCTAATGTAAAGATTCATTCCGTCGTAGTTCATGTTTGTTGTCTACATGGCAATTGTTGCTATCTTACTTGTGAACATGTTAATCGCTATGATGGGGAATACGTATCAAAAAATCGCAGAAACTAGGAACGAGTGGCAGAGACAAGTATTTCATTCATCTCTACCTTTCTTACTTCCTTTCGCTAAAAACTTTATTATAATCATATTTTGATTAGAACCGATAATTCCAGTGGGCACGTATAGTTTTGGTAGTAGAACGAGGAGTAAGTCCACAAGAAAGACTTAAAAAGTTGATGGATTATTCTCAACCAATGTCAGAGGGTCGTAGAGCGTTGGTTCTTCGATTGAATCAATCGGTATAAAATGATACTAATTAGCGCATTAAAATTACTATCTATTAATGAAACCAAATACATATTTTAGGAAGAAGACAAGGAAGACATGAAAGAAATTTTGGAAATGAAGAGGACCCACGACAAATTGTGCAAGAAAAGGCAGCTAAAATCAGCAAAGGAGAAAACTGTAACAAGAGAGGATAATATTATTGTATAATGTTATTTTTATTCTATAAATAGGTATAAAAACATATATTCCATTAAATTATGTTTTGTATATATAATATAATAAAATATTTTAACTGTAACTTATCTTTAAATTTATTTTCTCAACATTTCCTTCTTTGTATTAAATTATATATTATATCCGTATTGGTAACTATAGCAACTGCTTACTATGGCTAGTAACAAATGCCAATTAACTTGTGCATTCGCTAGTCCACTGCTTCTTGTTAAAAACATTCTGTAAAATCAAACAGATTACATATTAACAGTTTCAAAAATGAGTAAACTAAAATGTGTGATAAATTATAAAAGTTTAGAATTAGAGCTTCAGGAAGCTCTTAGAGCAGATGAATTATATAAATTACAAAATGATACCAAGATTAGAGCAGTTGAGCAAAATGTACCTACATATGAAGCTTTTAGACAAATGGTAATGACACATTCACTTTAATGCTAGATTTACAAATAGAAAATAATTTAATTAAATAAGTTTATCTTTAGGTACTAGCAGCTCATCTGAAACCTTTACAACACAGTGATATTCAACCTAAAATGAAAGGATCTTGGAATCCTGTTGTTAATAATGATAATTCCAGTACTACAATGCTATTTGATAAGTTAAACAAAAAGCATGCAAAAGATTGCTTAAAATCATTAAATAACAATAATGGTACCTATAAAGAAGAAATACCCACTACACAGGAACAATTTGTACAAGTTTGGAAAACTATTACAACGTACAAAAATAAATTTAATTATCTCCAAAGTATAAGGTACGATACTGCACCTTTTAGATAATTTATCTAATCATGAAATGTGAAATCTTAACGTTATTTCAGACATATCTTGCTCGATAAAATATTTCGTACTGAAATCCCTTCGACATTACTTGTAGAAATAATAAATGTATGCCTTCAAAATCTTTCGGATGGGAATAACGTTATAACCACCGTTGATATTTTGAATACTTTAAGTAAATGCAATAGGTTTTCTTTGGCAGTGAGCTTTATGGGAAAAGATGAAAGAGAAATGTGTTTACGGCTATTCAATAAAATTCTTATTAACGTGGACTATAAAGATGAAGTTCTAAGAGATGCGATTAAAAAACTGGGGTTAATTTATGAAGTCACATTTGAATAATGCTATGTAATGACTAATGAATTCATAAAAATAAAAATATGTTATATAACATAAGAAGAAAAGCAAACGTAGGTGAATATCTAATTTGTCACAAATATGATACTTGAAAAAAAATAATATACGTTTAAAAGATGTAAGCATGCGCGTAGCGAAGACCAACACCACGTGATTGACAAGTGCTTACTATGGCGACGTACACTGTAATCCTAAATAGTTCGAAACATCGTGATCAAAGTTGAATGAAAGTTAGTTTGAAAACCAATCGAAATTTCGACAGGTTTAAATCTGTTTTTGTCTTAAATCAAAATGACTGAAACGTCCGGTAGTAAACTTTCTTATTACCGTTGTGTAAATGACACCTTGCGATGCGTACGGCTACGTAAGTACGTGGGAAGAGCCAACCGTATACATGTATGCATGTATAGCGCATGTATTCACGCATTTCGTAAACAAACAAAATCGTTGAATTGACCGATAAAATGTCAGTTTATAGTGTAACTTTGAATTTCTTCAACGAAGAATTTGAAAACAGATGCAAGTTATTTATCGAAAACCGCGATACTATCTAATCGAAATACGGCTTGCTAAGTCACAAACTTACGTTACTACTTATACATGCGTACGATATATTTAGATGGTGTAACCCTTTAGTATCATGTGACACGTACGATATATCGTCGTAAGAAAAGCGAGATTTATCTATAGCAAGTTTCGTCACTGGAAAAAAAATATATGTATGTACTTACGTATATATCTGTATACATGTTGTGCTAATATTTAGTATATTATAAAGTCATGATACTAATGGTGTATCTGTAGTAAATTGTAAAGAAAATTTACCCACTGGCTTGTCGGAAATATGCGGTTAGAAGAAATGCCATTACGTTTAAGCTCGGACGAGCGGGATTTTGAAATGGACGAAGAAACCGACTATCTTCTTCAACCTTCCGAAGATAGTATAAGATTATTGACGTCGAGAAGACGACGAATTAACGATTGTTCCATATTCCTCAAAAATTTTTTTTGCGGGTAAGTTACATTCGATATTTGAATGAAGAACCAAATAGACGAGAAATGTTTCATATTCTGTCAGATATATCTGCTTATGATAAACTACTAATTTTAACGGTAGCCAACATAACAGGTAGTAAAGAGTTACCAAATTAACGCAGAAAATTGAATATAAAAATGAAATATCTAAAACAGAGTATATATCTGTGTATATATACATAAATAGTATTGTTTATTTGAGAAAACGTTTGATGTTCAACATATATAAATAAAAAATATTTTATTTTAAAAAGAAAACTCTAATTTATAAGTTGTAACTTCGGTAGAAACAAGTGAAAGAATATTGAATAATGTTGCCACATCTGATTTGATGTAATGAATATTTATTTGTGTCAATGAAAATATGTAAATAAATGTTAGGTATATTGAAAAATTGTATAAACATCAACATTACTTTACCGTTAATGAAATATAGTGTGGTATAAGTTGCTATAGTAAGTACATATATAGATGAATTCATCTTGTAAGCGCCTGCTCCGTGGATATTATGATATCATGACGGACTTTTGTTGAACGTTGAATGATAGTTTTTCAAGAAGTATTTTTTAGCGAGAAACTAAATACATAACGGTGTTGTTTTATATGATTTGTAACAAAGACATATCTAAATGGAGACGCAAAGCAATGTTATAAGGCTATCGAAGGAAGATATTCCGTTAATATCTAAACCGCGAAATGACAATTCCTGGACAAGGTGACGTACATTTTGCTGTAACTAAAAACTTCGATTTCCTTTTAATTCTCCATATTATAGGATTAATTGAATTTTAATAATTATTTTTATAATATTTCATTCGATTTTTATTCAAAATTCATTATCGAATTCATTTTCAAAATTAATTTTTATATTATAATAAATAAATTATTCTTAATTCTTATGCCTTATCTAATATACCTAATTTTTCAATAATCCTTTTTTATTATTTTTAAACTTGATAATTAACATTTACATTTATACTTGTGTACCTGTTGTTGATGTGTTACAAGGAGAAATATAGTAAACTGGTATTTATTGATTATAATTTTGATCCTTTACCTCTTTGCTGTTTTGTTATTACAGATGTTGTACCTGGATGTTAAGAAGATGTTGTAGAGAACGTGAGTTAAGAGCTAGAGTTATTCACATTGGTCAGCCTATGCATGAAAAGTTTCCTACTAATGTCATAAGGAATCAAAAATATAATGTTGTTACATTTTTGCCTTTGGTAAGATATGATATTGATTATTTGAAACACAATATAATATAGAATAAAGAAATTTCAATTAACATCTGTTATCTTGTTTCTCAGGTTCTCTTCCAACAATTTAAATTTTTCTTAAATCTATACTTTTTGCTTATGGCTATATCTCAGTTCATACCAGATATAAGAATAGGGTACCTATATACTTATTGGGGACCTTTATGTTTCGTGTTAACTGTTACAATTTGTCGGGAAGCAATTGATGATTTCAGACGATACAAGAGAGACAAAGAAGTGAATGCCCAGAAATATTACAGATTAGTGAAAGGTTTTGATACCCCAGAACTAATACCAAGTTCTAAATTGCGCGTGGGTGATTTGGTAAGCAAGCAAGAAACCATACTCAGGTGAAAATATTAAATGAATATTCATACCATTGCTCCTTTTCCTAAGGTAATTGTGGAGAAAGGTCAGAGAGTTCCAGCTGATTTGGTTTTATTACGAACGACTGAGAAATCTGGCGCGTGCTTTGTAAGAACAGATCAGTTGGATGGAGAAACGGATTGGAAACTGCGACTAGCTGTACCTGCTACACAAAAATTGGAGAATAATTCTCAATTGTTCGATATAAAAGCTAGTATATATGTGGAAAAGCCCCAAAAGGATATTCACAGCTTTATCGGAACATTTACGAGGGTAGAACTTCTGTTATTTAACAACTACATCCGGTATATAATAATCTCCAATAATTATTGTATTATATATTATTGCTTACAGTACGATGGATACAGTAGCGAAGAAAGTTTAGGCGTTGATAATACATTATGGGCAAACACAGCTGTTGCGTCGGGTTCGGCGCTCGGTATCGTTGTATACACAGGACAAGAGACTAGATCTCTCATGAATCATTCTGCGCCACGATCAAAAGTTGGTTTATTAGATCAAGAGATAAATCAGTTGACAAAGGTATCGTATTCGATTCTCTGACTTCCATTACTGCCAGACACTTTAAAATAAATTTTTAACTTTATAGGTCTTATTTTGTGCTGTAATTGGATTAGCATTAGTAATGATGTCTTTGAAAGGATTTAACGGGCCATGGTATCGTTATATGTTTCGTTTCGTTTTATTGTTCTCCTATATAATCCCCATCAGTTTAAGAGTGAATTTGGATATGGGGAAAGCTTTTTACGCGTGGTGTATACAAAGAGACAAGGAAATTTCTGGAACGGTTGTAAGAACCACTACCATCCCGGAGGAACTTGGTCGCATTTCCTATCTATTAAGCGACAAGACGGGCACATTAACACAGAATAAAATGGTTTTCAAGAAGTTGCATTTAGGCATGATATCTTACGGTCAAGAAACGTTCGACGAAGTTATGAATGTACTAAAAACCTATTACTCTTCTACGTCTGAAACATCACCGGTAAAGCCGTCGATATCTGCGCACAGTGGAAAAGTAAGAAGATCCGAAAGTACAAGGATATACGATGCAGTGCACGCTTTAGCATTGTGCCACAATGTAACACCGGTTTATGACGAAGTAAATAAAGCAACTAATTTGGACACAGTAAGCGTCCAAACAGGAGAAACAGGAGATTCTGGTTCTATTCAAAGGTTATTTGTGAAAAATTAATTACACTTTTACGACTTTAAACTCTTATACTTACATCGCTCCTGTTTTAGTCAAACAGAAGCGGATCAGCATTATTATTTGCCAGAACAGAAACGCAATTACCAGGCTTCCAGTCCGGACGAAGTGGCATTGGTTAAATGGACAGAAGAAATGGGATTGGCATTAGTGAAACGGGATTTAAATTTTATGCAGCTGAAAGCTCCAAATGGAAAAATTTTAAACTATACGATTTTACAAATATTTCCATTCACATCGGAGACCAAACGAATGGGGATAATAGTAAAAGAAGAGTCTAGTTCTGAAATAATATTTTATCTGAAAGGGGCGGACGTAGTGATGTCCGGTATAGTTCAGTATAATGATTGGCTTGAAGAAGAGTGCGGCAACATGGCACGTGAAGGTTTAAGAACGTTAGTTGTTGCAAAGAAGAATCTAACGGAAGAACAGTATCTTGACTTTGAAGCAAGGTATCATTATCAAATGTTTTACGATAAAACGATTAAAAACAACTGATTACTTAGACGTTTTTTCATTTAGATACAATGCGGCCAGAATGAGTGTCAGTGATCGTGTCTCAAGAGTCGTGGCGGTTATTGAAAGTTTAGAAAGGGAAATGGAGTTACTGTGCGTGACCGGTGTTGAAGATAGATTACAGGATAGAGTAAGGCCAACGTTGGAATTATTAAGAAATGCTGGAATTAAGGTACACGATCCTTTCGTCTCCTCCCATTTCGTTTCAATGATCGATTCTATTTACGAATATTTCTTCTTATGTTTCTTTTTTCAGATATGGATGTTAACGGGTGATAAACTGGAAACCGCTACTTGCATAGCAAAATCTTCACGTTTGGTTTCACGAACGCAAGGTCTTCACGTTTTTAAATCAGTGGTAACTCGCACAGATGCACATTTAGAATTAAACACATTTCGTAAAAAACAAGACTGTGCCTTAGTTATCAGCGGAGATTCTTTGGAGGTTTGCTTGCAATATTATGAACAAGAATTTTTGGAATTGGCCTGCGGTTCACCTGCTGTTGTCTGCTGTCGATGTTCACCCACTCAGAAGGCCGAAGTCGTCAGTCTTATTCAAAGACATACAGGAAAAAGAACCGCAGCTGTCGGAGATGGTGGTAACGATGTATCTATGATACAAGCAGCAGATGCTGGTAATTTTTGCTCTTGTAACATTTACGCTGGGACGAAAAAAATATTATATAATTGCATTTGATATACATTTTAGGTATAGGTCTGGAAGGTCTTGAAGGGAGACAGGCTTCTTTAGCGGCAGATTTTTCTATTTCTCAGTTTAGCCATTTGGCTAATCTCCTGTTGGTTCATGGACGAAGAAGTTACAAACGGTCTGCCGCTTTAAGTCAGTTCGTTATTCATAGAGGTTTAATTATCTCAACCATGCAAGCTGTATTCTCTGCAGTTTTTTATTTGTCTTCGGTATCCTTGTATCAGGGATTTTTAATGGTTGGGTAAGAAAAGTATTCATTTCATTTAATGAGATATTCCAATCGATCAGCGTCTAGCTTTTGTAATAAACTTTCCTTAACAACATTGATACTAACAAAGAAAATTATTTTATAGTTATGGAACGATATATACAATGTTTCCCGTATTTTCTTTGGTGTTAGACAAAGATGTATCGGGAAAAATAGCACTTACTTATCCGGAACTTTATAAAGAACTTAGTAAAGGTCGATCGTTGTCTTACAAGACGTTTTTCATGTGGATTTTAATAAGCATATATCAAGGTACTGTTTTAACAATTTTTCATTGGTCGCATATATTGTAAAAGTGTTTTAATTATTCAAATTGATCTTCAGGTGGTGTTATAATGTACGGGGCCCTTATAATGTTTGAAGATGAATTCATTCATATAGTGGCAATTAGTTTCACCGCACTTGTTTTAACGGAATTAATTATGGTAGCCTTGACGATCAGAACATGGCATCATATTATGATACTTGCAGAAATTTTTTCATTGGCACTATATCTGTTATCTTTGGTCGTTCTTAAGGATTATTTCGGTATGTTTAATACGTACATACTTTCAACAACGAATAAGTTGAACAAATATATTTAACTATTTGTCTTCGTTTTGTACACAGATGCCGAGTTTATCAAGACAACGGACTTTTTGTGGAAAGTATTGTTAATAACTTTAATTTCTTGCATGCCATTGTATATTTTAAAATTCTTGCGAAAAAAGTTTTCACCTCCTAGTTACACCAAATTATCTTAAGCTTCATACACAGCTATCTCATTTGGTACATACAATTAACAATCGTACAAAGAATTGAAAGCTCTACTTTTGTTGAAGTGATAAAAAAAAAAGATTTATTTGCAAAGTTACTATTATTAATTTGAGTTTTGTACTCGGTACAAAGACAAACTTCCAATTTATAAACATTATTAAATTTTTTGTTCCTGAAAACATTTAGCATTTCATTCGGACCATTGTGATGAATGAAGGCAAAACTTATTTTTCTTCAAATTAATAATAAATTCCGTTGTTCCGTTAACATATGATGCAACATACTGTAAACATTTTCCCTTATTTATTCAGATTATAAATTAAACTGTATTCAAATTTTATTAATTGTAAGTAGGGATTTTAAAACGAGCACCTTCAGTATACTATTAATATTATTTGTGTTTATTTATTAAAACAACAAGCTTCTCTCATTCTTATGTGTTCACACAGCATAGCATTTTATTCAATCTCACCTAATGCTTATCGTATACATTCAATCATGTTATTTACAGTATTTTGTATGTTAAGTTTGTAGTTCACGGATGCTTGACTAATTAAAAGTACGTGATGCTTTATTTGACAGTTTCTAGTGTATATAATGGATGTGAGCAAACGTCCAAAGTTAAATTTTAATTTTTGTAAATTAGGCGCGACATTTTTCATTTTCTATCATTTTTCTCTAATAAAATATTTTTACTTTATACTATGAATCAAATTATTTTCAAATGTAATATGTAATTTAATATAATTTTGTTATGCAATTTTTAATGCAAAATGCTATAAAATAAAGGAAATCGATTTTTATATTTATGCGGAAATTATAAGCATGTAAAACTAGTTACAATTATATCGATGAAATGTATAATATACCATTAGATGATATAGTTATTTCTAGATGCATATTATTTGACTTAATGATATATTTATAAATAATTTATGTGAAAATAAACTAATATATTCCTTTGATCTCTGACTAATTTTCTATAACATTTTTCCTTCAAATTAAATGTACATACACGTCGATATGTTATAACAGAAAAAAAGAATCATAATTTACAACTGGTTTGTTTATTAAATTTATTTCTTTTTTTATCTGACTTCAACATTCAATTTTTCACTAGCAAGCCTTCCTATATTATTGTGAATAGTGTTTACTTCTCTTTTTGATAATGTACGTTCCATGTGTCTGTACACTATTGTATAACAGTGTGACAATCTTTTAGTTTTAGGATGAGTAAATTCATCTTTTAGTAGAACCTGTTCTATTCTATCACCACCAACATTCCTTACTATGTCATAAAAGTCGTGTGTTGAATAAGGTCGATTTTCGGGCAACCAAAAACTTATATCGTTTCTACATTGAGGATAAATGCTAATTGGCTGTAAAGGACAAATTTGATTACTGAAACTGCTGTTTTTATGCAATAATGGCCAAATTATTAATTTCTGTACCTTGTATGTTATTATTGCATTAGGATCTTCAACTTTAAATTGGTTCAAAAAACCACTGTCTGTGCTCCAAAATAATCTTATATCAGGGATATCATATAAACGCATAGCTATTCTTTCTAAGCCTAATCCAAATGCCCATCCAATACGTTCTGTTACTCCTGCATTTTGCAAAATTTCCTGACGCATAATACCACATCCTAATATTTCAAGCCACTGATCTCTATAATAAACTTCTAATTCCCATGATGGGTGAGTAAAAGGAAAATATTGCTCAACCCATTTGCATTGTACATCTGAAGTAGAAATTTTTCATTTTACATCATTTTAAAGTTCTAATTAATAAAATATGTTTTTCTCTGTAAAAGTACCTGGTCCAAAAAGTGCCTGTGCTAAACCTGTCAAAGTGTTTTTCAATTCATGCTCCATTATTTTTATTGATTCTAAAGTATGACAACCTTGTTTGTCGTTAGTTTCTATTCCATTATGTTCAAATAATTTCAGTTCATCAGAACCATTTACATTTTCAAATACCTCATCTTTTGTGCATAATCTAACAGCATCTGCTTGATGAAAAACTGGATAATGCGTAGCGTCTATTTCATCTTTACGATAAACATCTCCTATTACAATAAAATTATTCAATCCCATTGAAATTAATTCAGTCTGATGAGCAGTTGTATGCGCCCTTAACAAAGTATCTTGATTTATATAATAACAATCTGTTTTTCTCCTACTTGGATGATCTTTTGGTACAAGAAGCGAATCAAAATTTTGAGCTACTGTAACTATAGGAGATACGTTATCATATACACTGAACACTGGATTTCCAATACGATTATGAAATTGCGTGTAAAAATAGTTAACTATACGTTGACGAATATGAGACAAAGGATGGTATGGAGTAATGTGTAAATTTTTTCCTACTTTTGATATAATGTTTGGAGTGACATTCGTCCATTTATCCATAGGATATTTATTATTAAGTATACTTATATCGCTATTCGTTTCAACTTGAGCAGCTACGGAAAAGGTTCTGCTCAAAGAAATTCTTGCACGACATCGTCCAAGAATTGTATACATTCTGAGGCAATAAAAAGTTAACCTGTAGTTATTATTTGTAAAAATTTTTAACTATTTCTATAACACGATGCAATATGATACCTACTGAATATATTGCGTGTAACTAACCTGCGCAGAACGAACGAAAACTCGTATGATAAGTATGGTCCCTACTAGAACGAATAATAAAATTATTGTCAGTCTATACACGTGTTTGACCTATGATGTTTCAAAACATAATGGCTAGTAGTCGAAATAACGTTCTTAGCCTTTATCGAAATTTAATTCGAGAAAGTAAAAAATGGAATTCTTATAATTATCGGTAAGTGTAAAATCATTAAACAGTGTTACACAAGTTACAATCTAATGTATTATGTATCTGTTAGGAATTTCAAATTCAATGTTAGTATATAACATATAAATCTTTATATTTTGTAGGATGTATGCTTTGCGTAAAATTCGACACGAATTCCATGAAAATAAAACTCTACAGGATAAGGAAAAGATTAATGAATGTTGTGAAAAAGGAAAGGAAGCACTTGAAATTATCAAAAGACAAGCACTTATTGGAAATCTTTATAGTACCAGACCACTTATTATTGAAACTATGAAGAATAAAAGTGAATTGAGCTGTAAAGATCCAAAATAAGGTTAAAGAAATGTTGTATGAAGAAGACTTCAATGATGAATGTTAAACAAGAAACTGTTATTTATTATTACTCAATTGGAAATAAGTATAAATAGTACAAATTAAACAAATGTACATATGGTATTAAAAATATTCAACAATTAAAAAAAATTGGACATGTTCATTCTAACCCTATAGGTCTAATAGAAATATATTTACTTGATGTCACGTCACGAGAGTCCATAACTAAGCGCGCAGGTTGGAAGATGGTAGGGGAACGCAGCGATGGTGGGAGAAAGCGATCCGCCAATCGCTTTCCACTTCCGCTGGAAGTATCGCCAATCAGGGCGAAGATGCGCACTGGAGGTGCGCGGAGAACGAAAACTGGTCTTTTCGCAGTTATGGACTCTCGTGACATCAAGTATAGAGAAATTTTTTAACACTAGTGCCCTGACAAAAAACATTACATTGAAACAATGACAAAATTATAATTTGGAATGCAAACTACATATAATAGCTATTTTATAGTAATTACTTGAATATAATAAATATTGCCGAGTATCAAATCAACCCAATAGACTTGCTTATGGGTCCGTCACGGACCTAATAATTTAATGAAAAAAAAAAAAAAAAAAAAACCAATAGACTTATTTACACATGCGACAAAAGGTATTCAAGACTTAAATTTGGTAAACCTGACAGATCAGCTGTTTCGATTACTTCTCAGTGACAGATGGTGTATGGAATGAGTGCGATTGTATATATTTAACTGTGATGAGTTGTGCTCTATTGTAGAACACATAATAAGGAGATTAAAAAATTCTTCAAAATGGCTATGCGAAACTTGACAGAACCTTTTATTTTAATGCGAAACAATGCTTTGCAAAGCAAGCATATATATGCCGAACAAGTATGACGTGCATAACCTATAATCAATGAAAAATAAATTAACCTTTTTACAGATAGCTTAATGTTAAATGGGCGTAATTTATAATTTCAGAACCTGTCCGATCGAATGGCACTAGTAGGTCCGGATTCTGGCACTTCTGATAATGTTGAACTAAAAAATATCAATTTGGAAAGTAATGCACCACCTGTTTGGACAGATGCTTTGGAAGAGACACAGTATATTTTAAGTAGATTACGTGTTAAAATAGATACCTTGGTAGAATTACAATCCAAACAATTAACTAGACCGACCCTAGATGATACCTCACAGGTTTGTTGGTAATTTTAGTACCATACTTGTTATGTTGACATTCAATGAATTGTTTGTATATTTAATGCCAAACTGGGCAATTCTTCTGATTTATTTTGATTACTTAATTGTTAGAGAGCAAATCGTTAAAAAACATGTCTGCAGGAGGAAAGACAAACGGAACAATTGACACGAGAAATAGGACGTGCATTTTCTAATGGTTATCATCAAGTCCAAACTATAAAAAGTGAAGCAAAGCATGCTGCTAATCCCACAGAACGTCGGTTAGCCATAAGTGCAGTAACAGCTCTTTCAATAGCTTTACAAGAGTTGGGTCTTAGATACAGATCAGCTCAGAATTATTACTTAACACGTACGATTTATACAGTTCTTTATAAACGAAAAATCTATAAAGAGAAAAAAATCCGTAAAAATATTTTTTCTTACAATTGTAGAGGTGAAATCAAGAGAAGAGAGGAGTAATCAATTTTTTACCGAAGATCAGTCGATATTTTTAAACAACACTGCAGGAGACACATGGTTAATGGAATCTAACGAAACAAGTGCAGATTTGTGGCATGAAAACGAACAGAAGCAAAGTTCTGTACTTTTACAGTTAGAAGAACCAGAAGATAGAATGAAATTAGCTTTGGAAAGAGAAGAAAAAATTGGCAACATAGTTCAAAGTATAGCAGACCTCAGATATATATTCAAAGTAAGAGGCCTCGTCGATTTATATGTATAACAAATAGAATAGTTTATATTAAAAATGTTATTTGAAACTACAAGAAATATTCTTTGAACAGGATTTAGCGAGTATGGTGCAGGATCAAGGCACTATTTTGGATAGAATTGATTATAATATCGAACAGACCCAAATCCAAGTACAAGAAGGTTATAAACAATTAAAAAAGGCAGATTCTTACCAAAGAGCTAATAAGAAATTATATTGTATAGTCGTGCTTGCGGGAGCTATTATTGTAATTAGTTTCTTTTTCGTCGTATTTAAAACATGAAGCACAACTTGCATACGAATTTCGTGAATACACCTTAATGTACAATTAATTGTGATTTATTAACTTTTCTTGAAAGGAAAAAAGGAAGTATTTATTGTATATATGTTTTAATGCAAGAAATAATATTTTTTAGCATAATTTGTAAAAGCGAATGAAATATTTAATTGGAACGGATAAGATCGATCGATACGTATAGTGGATAAAGAGTGTTACTTTTCATATAAAGTTTTAAAACATTGACTTGATAATTTTAGATTGTAAACAATTCAAAGTTTCTTCTTGTTTCTATACTGAAATCATTCCAGTACTAATCGCGGTGCTGTTTTGTTTGAGTGTTGTTATGTACGTGCCCACAACCAGTTACATATGTGTTTAGGTGTATTTTACATGTAAATTAATTAACTATAACATATATTTACGCCAAAAAGTTATCTTTTTCAATGAATTTGGATTTGAAGGTGAAAGAAAATGGAATGTGTTCAAATAAAACATATTACGCGACTATATCGCTATCGATTTATAAATTACCTTTCAGACGTTTCTTTGTTATTGAAATATTCGTAAATTAAACTGTAATAAATAAGAGGGTAGATGAAGTAAAATTTAATATTTTTACACATCTTTTTACCAATACTTTTTTTTTAATAACCGGGCATGGTTTTATCAAATGCATGTTATAAACGTTATAATTTTACATAGCATCAACATAAATATTTCAGAGAAATGTGTTAAAAATTTCTTGACAAATATCAAGATAAATAATATTTTAGTTTACAGTGTTATCATTTCATATTCTATGCTTAAAAGTACAAGATAACTTTTCCTCGAGCATTGCACCTTTTATCACAGATTGGAGCGATATATCTATTCTATACCTATATAATTCAATCACAATTGCCTAACGTGTATATATGTAGATTGATCTTAAAAAAACGGTACCGGGATTACTTTAAATAACTTCCTCGTCTGCCTACCTGTATGTATACATAAATACATACATTTTGTTAATATTTATCGAGTGTCATAAAAATCCTACGTTACAAATTGTACAAATTGTTTGTTAATAAAAGGGCTGTAGAAAAGAGAAATTCAAGACCAGTGAATATTTAAAAGCGTTAAACACACGTTCATCGAACTCGTAATATTTACAAAAAAGAAAAACTTCTTCGTAAAGAACAATTGAATGTTCGAGATAAAATATAAAATGCAACAGGGTACTGTAACAATGTTTATTCTAATAAATGGAATGCAATAAATGCTGGTATCAAAACCCTACGAATTTTATTGTATCATACCGTCCGTATGTTGTTTAATCTATTTTGTTGGATCAATAACACCGAAACAAGTATCGTTATACTTACGAGGTCATTTATACAGGTTTTTTACATGTTTGTAAAAAATGTTTGTACGTGCTTCCATAAACTCGATAAAATCGAGCAATTGAAACTTCATTGAAATTTGGAAAAACAAGCGATATCTAATAGGAAAATTGATATATAAAAACGCTTTCGTTGTTTCTGCGAATGAAAAGAGAAAAAAGAAAAAAACAAGTAACGAATCAGATTCGAAGAGTGTAAAAAACGAAATGTAACTCCCAGTATTTACTTATTTAAATAAGTACTTAAAACAAATGCGAACTGTTATTGTTAACAACGCGATACGATTAACCATCGACGACTATTATTATACAACAGAAAGTAACAAAGAAGGGAGTCAGAAGGCAAAGTTGGAAAACTGATCTCATTATCAGATGGTAGACGTGTTTAAGATGTGAGTTAAAATCCCAAACGCTCCACCGAGTATGTAACGTACAAAGTTGTCACCAACCAAAGGACCTAAAGCATAAAGACCGGTTTTAGGTGCCTTGATCACTTCGTACGTAAAGTTGTCGACTTCGATCGGATTTGTTTTACTGTCTATAGGTTTGTCAGGAAACTTTCCAAGTCCGATACCGTTGTTTTCCAGGTAGGACAGGTCAGGCTTGTATCCTGCGAGTAAACGTTTCGCTTTAGAATCGACGAGAAAACCATGTTACTCGATTCGCACGGTAACGTTCAGAAGTGCTTGTAATGATTTCCTTGGCAAATCGTACTACCCGAACATACTTACCGATGAGTATAGCCACAATCGAGACGCGAAACGCGTACGATCGTTGATCCGGAGCGGTAAGAGTAACCGTTCGATTGTCGGATTCGGATACATCGATAACATCGTTTCCGTGTGAGGCAAACTCGACCAACGTGTATCCCGGTAGCGCTTTGTACAGAGGATAATTGCTACCTCCGTCTGCCATCATCTCGTATACTTTGTGATATTCCGGATACATGGAACTAGGAAGTCCCTGTAATCTGCCATAGGCGGTGTGTATTTTCTTAGAATCCGATTTATTCCATTCGTTAGACGCGTCTCGGAACGCGTGCAATACAGGTATGCCGCGAAAACGCGCGGCCATGATCGCGTCCGCCGCGGTTAATCCAGAACCGATTATCAATACCGGATCCATTCTATCTTCTAATTTTTCTCCTGAAATTTAACGATTCATAAGTCGTCGATCAATATCGATTCGGATTCGAATTCGGATTCGTCTTCCTGAAGCTGAAACAATTAATTGAGAAAGAAAGAATTGGTACGTACCGTGATGCTGTTCGACCAAACGATCCAGCCTCGATTCCAAGTCGTTGAGATCGTGCGTTACCCAGTCCGGTCGTGAATTTTCACCGGGTATTCCTAGGTGATTCGACAAATCAGTCGTACCAGTGGCAAGAACGGCTCTTTTGCATCGGTAATGGAACGATTTCCCAGTCTTCTTGTCGAAACCCTTCACTATCCATCCGTAAGAGCAGTTTGCGTCTTCGTTGGAAGCTGGTTTCACCGAGGTAACGACGGTCCCGCTGAAAAACAAAGTCAATTGGCAAAGTTAACGAAATAGCATAGAAAAGCCGAAATACTCGTTTAGAATTTCGAAGGAGGAGGAATATACCAACCAGCGAAAGTATCGCTCCAACCCTTTTCTACGCACATAATCTTTATAGTAGGCAGCCACGGTGCCAACGGAAATTCTGCTAGCCGTTTTACACGCGTTCGACCTCTCTTGAACGGTGGAGTTGGGTTGCCGAAACTGCTCGGACTCGATCAACATCTCCCATTGCCTTACGTCTAAATCGGGCAACGACATCCATCGGTTCAAGCTGATGGTCAACACGTTTGGATCCATCGACTGACACAATCAATTCGAGTTATGAATTTTAAAGATAAACGTGCCGATGAAAGTTTCTGGTATGGAAGAATCCCGATTATCGCGATAATAACGATAAATATACCGAGCGAGAGCGCTCGTCGATAGATCGTAATCGATATTTTTCGTTACCTGCCACGAACCACCAGGTTCGTCTTTGCCCAGTACCACGTGGTCTATCATTTTGTGCTCGGGATGTTGTTCGACCGATTTCCAAGTGAGAAGAGAGGGCACGTCGAGACCCGCGTCCACGCAGGGATGTTGAAGTTGATCCATAAGAAGGGCCAAAGGTCGACCACCGGCTCTACCCTCGAGACCGGAGGACAAGCATTCCAGTTTGCAACGGGTGCTGCGCGCCAATCCTCTTCCCTGCTGACTCTTTGCCAATCTACCGGCGTTCTCTTGTCCCCATCGATCGCGAATTTCATCTCGTTCCTCTTCTAGATCATTGTTATCGTTGTCGTTGTAACATTCCTCGTTGCCGGTTCGGGTGCTGAAGTGTAATCTCGCGGTCAACATCTCGTCCCCGGGGTGCGGCTCGCCCGTATAATACGGCCAGTTTCCAGCGAGCATGTAAGAAAGGCATATTCCACTCGGACCGTTTCCTGCGCGAAACATTCCTTGCCAATGATGCTGAAATAGCAGCTCCTCATTCTTTCTTTCTCACAAGCGCTCTTCTTCTCGACCAACAGACAGACACACATACGCATGCACAACTATTTCATCGTTTTACAAGCAATAGGAACGCGGAAAAAAGTATAAGGTCCTCCGATGCAATTTTAAATGAGGATGTTTATCTCAGCCTCGATTCTAGTCTAGCCGGTTAATCGTTTTATAAACATTCTTTTTTGCTTTTCTTTTGTCGAAAGTGAGTTTAAAGTGCATGCTAGCTGAATACGTGCGAAATACATATGGACGTTTTCCTAGCATTAAAGTCGACCATACCTATAATGACCACATCCTTATAGACGACGTTATTATCGTCGTCGTCGTAACAATTTTGCATCGTTCCTCCGATACACGTTATTCTCGGATGTTCGTTCAACCGCTCAACGATTCCAAAGACTGCAACAAACGATTAAAAATATTCGATCAAACCGATTTGTGGAAAAAAGGGAATCGTTATAGTATCGAAATGATGCGAAAAATCTGTTTCTTTCGTCGAGGGTAATCGTAAGCGCGCGTTTTTTTCCACGAGAAATAGTAACGAATAGTTTCCCTACTCTTTGAATTACGTAATGCGACAATAATGCCTTGTTGTGTGCACGAGTGTTTTTATTCAGATATTACAATACGATCCTTCTTTTATTCTCTCTTTCCCTTTCGCTCACCCTACTTCTCTTTCTCTCTCTGTCTTGCGTGGATTCATGTAATATGTATTTAAGTTTGCGGAGAGAGCGTATCGTGATTCATCAGAATTGTAATTAAACAATGAATTGTATCGCAATCGGTATGCAAAATTTGTTCCGATAAATTCTAACATTTCACTCGATCACCGAAATCGTTTGTGTTTAGAGGTCAAAACGAAGACGAGCATGACTAAGCAAGAATACGATCAGATGCACACGCGCTGTAATTCCGTACGTGTCATTACGCGAAAGTCGTGTTTCGTAAAATCGTGCAACTCATTTTACACTTAAGTGATGTACAACGAGTTGGTACTTGAAGAGTACCGTAGGAACGTAGATCGATTATGATCGTCCCGAGGTTTGAACTTTCCAATGTAAGAATGAATGTTATCGCTCGTTATCTTTTAAGTTGACGATGAGATCATTTTTGAACGAATGCATAATGATAATGGGGAGAGTTTATAAAACTGTCGAGTCTGATATAGATAGATAGATCATAAATTGTTGTAACATAGTGCACAATTACAAGGATCTTTTATCGTATCGATCGATTTCTCGATAAACGAATAGTGATAGTAGATTATCTATCGTTGATCGATTATGATAAATCTTACGACGATCGCGAAATGGTTAGAAATAAAGTTCGGGGCAAAAGGGAGCTCGACGAGATACTCGTCTTAACCCTTTCGCTACTAACGGTGACTTTAGTTATTTTTTAAACGCGTCTGTGTTAGGATTGCCCCGTACCGGGACTGCGCATTCGCGAGCAAGTCCGCCGTAGCAAAAAGGTTAATCGATTCAATTGCTCAAAGATCTCGTTAAAAGCTCGTGGGAACGGCGTGCGAATGATTGCTTAAATAAATCGATTCGACCGATGATGCGACGCATTTTACACTCTAAGTACCTCGATTCGATGCGCCACGCCATGTGGCGACGATCAAGCGCGCGTCACGTAACATACTTCAATCACGAATGCGTATTTAAAATCGAAGCGTTTCCGTATTACTATGATGCAAAGCAGAAAGTGATAGAAACCCGATACGATAATAGGAAGTTGGTTTCTCGCGGACGGAAATAGACAAGGTACCGCGATTGAAATACAAGGAAAGAAGCGCGAAATTTGCTGCATATGCGCAACGGATATCGTATACCGGATAGGATAGCGGCGGATCGTGATTGCAAGGTTGAACTTAAAACTCTTGCTCGAAGAAGCATAACAAGGACCGTTTTTAACACTAAATTGCCGGAAAAATAGATCCGTAAAAATAGGTATAGCACATATGGATGGCTTGGAACTAAAAACCAACATATGTTTTAAAAAAAATTATTTAAGTAATAAAATCGTGAATGAGTTAAATTCACTCGCTCTGGCAATCTAGTGTTAAACATTATTCTTCGGTCTCTTTTAATGGTTACTCGCATTATAACTTTCGATCAACGCGTCCATTATTCGCAAAGCGATCAATGGATCAGCACGCAATCAGTGCGACCGTAAACAAATGGGACATCGCGATAATAAGGTAATTGTCTTTGTAATCGATACGAAAGATTGTAAAAACAATTACAGCGAATGCGCATTTATATAAAAAAAATAACTGTTCAACGAGCTTTGTCACGGAGATACTTTTTCGATTCAATTGATCGCTTTCCGTGTAACTGTTTAATAATTTCAAGTGAAACGATTAAAATCGATCGAACGTAATTCGAGGAAAGCCTTTGTGCTATCGACAATACTGTACGCTACCCTACGAATAACCTACTTTTATACATTTCGATGGAACAATCACGCCTTTTTATTGCTCTACCTTAGAATTTATTCGGTTGAAAGTCGGTCGAAATATCCGACCGAATAGTCGATTGTTTCGATTTCGATCGAACGTTCGAAAAGATCGAGCAGCTTGCGGGCAACTTCACAACAGATACCAACTACGAAGTGCCTACTGTACGAATTCTATTGGACATCCCGACACGCGAAAAGACGCGGTGATGCTGATTACGTATTCACCGGTGTTTTTGAAACACATCACCGTTTCAATTTATCATTAAATTGCGAGAAAAAATCGCGTAATCGATAAGCAGGAAACTGTAGCGCTATGATAACTGCAACAACTGATGTAATTACTTTACATTTCCGCATGTTCTGTCGCTGTACTATCGATATCGCGAAATCGCTTCGTTCGTACACGCATCCTGAACTCGAGGGACAATTTAATCCGTCCTTAGAAAGCTCGAGAAAAGGAGCGTGTATCTGGAGAATCGGGTTTCGTTGCGTTTAAAAAATGATGAGAGTATTTACCTCGAGGTTAAAAAGAACCAAGGCTGGTATTAGATGATCGTAGAGAGAATCGCCAAGTCCCGGCAATGGACGCGTTTCCACGCGGTGTTGGAATCGCGTTACACAGTCAGCTGCTGGCACGAGGACGGCCGATATCGTACTGAACCGCATGCACGCGCTCGCACTCGCGCTCTCGTGCTCGTGAGCGGTCGAGTTTGCCATCGTAGAAATATACTTACTTACTTACTTGCCTGCTTACTTACTTACTTACTTACTTACTTACTTACTTACTTACTTACTTACTTACTTACTTACTTACTTATTTCTCTTTTTCACGGAAACGTATTTCTGCTGGAAGGTCGCGACGCCACACTACTCTCTAACGATAAGTATGTACTTCTATTCCTTTTCCTCCTGCTTCCCCTTCCCCCTACCCACCCTCCCGCGCTCTCTCTATCAGATTACAATCATTATTAATAACAGTGAAATTACACACACGTACTTAATCGATTTATGGTGACGGTTCGGTATTTTCTTATGAACTACATAAGTACGTCCAATCGATACGTTCTCTGAATCGATTGAATCGATTTGCGATGGTACGTGATACGATATCGATCTAACTACATGTATGCATCTATCGATGGATTATATACGGATACATATTTCGTTTACTTCTGAAACTGCTCTTATAAATTATGATGAATCGCGCGACCTAAAAATTGAATGACTATGGCTTTTACATTTACTAGCTGAAATGAAACTGGTCGAAGGTCGCACAACAAATCACGTTCCCCTTTGATTTTTCTTCTCTTTTCTTTATTTTTTTGTTTTTGTTTCTTTATGTAATCCGCCATCTGCTAAAAAACCGGTTATACCTTTCACCATTCGGTTCCTCGACAAGTACTCAGTTGTACGAGACAAGAATTTTTAGCGACTGCGTTTTATTTCTAACTTAACGACTCTCATAATCAGTAATGATAATTTTCTTTTTAATTTTTACCCGTGAAGAGCGTCAGCAAACTCTCGCCAAGAAAATGATTAAACGAATATCCACTAATTATAAATGTGAGACGTTATTACTTTATCGTTTAATAAATTTATCAAACTGAGAAACGACATTAAAGATCTTCTTTAATTTATTATTCAAATATATTTTTATTTATTATTGAAATATACTGTGCTCTTTTATCGATTTTTTATATAGTGGGTTACAAGCATACATATTTTATGCTTGTAGTGAAGTGGGTAATTTTCCATCGACTGACCGTCGTTTAACCCTTGTCGATAAAAGGGGTTAGCCTAACCACGAAAAAAGAACATGTCAAGGCACGATATTATTTCGTATATGTTAATCAAAAAGATTGTAATGTCGATTGTCGAGCAAAATAATAAACTGTTATCACGCGCGTCTCATCAGAACATTTTCGGGTCATAATAACGAAAACAAGACAATCGGTATATCACAGAAATATACTGTATTTTATCATATTTATCATGCATCATGATATCTAAAGCATAAATTTAACCTACGCAACTGTGCCGTGTATTTTATTTAATCTTTACGCGCAAAAATAAAAGACAACGAGGGGCAGCAGTTTAAAAATTTTGCGGGTTGTTTTCAAAGTTCCTAGCAATACGTAAGAGCGCGAATTTCAATTGGAGCATTACATTTGTGTACCTACACGTGTTTGGTAATCTTTGCTGTGAGTTTTAATAAGAATGGCAAGAATTAATTTTAATAATGTCAGACATTAGTACTTTGGGTCAGACGTAATTTTGGAAGCACGATAGTGAACGATAAAAATAGCATGCGTGAGTTTGCGTGTGAGCTACTACATAGCTGTCTACTCAACCGAATTATACAAAAGTACATACATATTAGTGTGCGATGGATTATGGTTGTCGTGCTTTTCTTCATCACTTCATTACAAAATTGCGCTTCTTTTGTGAATTTACATAGATATCTATTAAAAACATAACGAAAACGCATTCTTTTAAGCAAATTTGGTTGACGAAGAATCGAAAAGTAGACAATGAAATTATAAGTAACATCGAAAATTTCACCTGCACATTGTAAGCACTTATAAGGGAGAAAAAAAAACAGAAATCGATGGAATAATAACTTAAACTTAATTACCTGTTTCTTCTTCATATACGATCACAGCATCTCTAATCTGGATTACAAACTTTCGTCCGATACATTGCGTAGAAATTCTGTTGAACGACGTTTCGAACACATCCCCGGTCATCGGCTATTTTTTGTCCATCGCGAACACTCTCGACTATCATTTTCAAGCTATTTTCGTTCAACTATCGCGAAAATGTTTCGTTGGTATTTCGTTAGTCAATGTCGTTCCTTACCTCCGAATTTAATAATTTCTCTCGCCCGAAATACCAAGATTTTTATCGTTCAAATTGCAAAATTACGTTTTAGGTCGCAACGTTGACACGCCTCACGAAAGAATTGATTTTCTCCTTTCGTAGGTTAGGCTCTATTCAACATATATACCGCAGTTCACCAAAGTCCATAACTGCGAAAAGACCAGTTTTCATTTTTCGCGCATCTCCAGTGCGCATCTTCGCCCTGATTGGCAATACTCCCAAACGAAGTGGAAAGCGATTAGCAGAGAACTCGCTACGTTCCCCCACCATCTTCCAACCTGCGCGTCGCAGTTATGGACTCTGGTGAACTGCGGTATATATGTGTCTATACACACACCGCGTACTCATTTTAGCGGCAACTTCAAAGTGGCCAATTTTATATTACAAATACGCAGATTATAATTGATTAGTAACTATTTATTAATTTTATTCGACTTATTTACGTTTCCTGATAACATATCAAGTAAAATATTACTTTAAGAAAGATTACTTTAAAATCACATGTATTGCGTGCCAAATAAATAAACATGTTTAATTATAATATTATACTTATTTTATATAGATAATTATAATTAGCTTAATCTCACGCAATAAACTAATTTAATCATTTATAATTTCTGTTGCTCCTGATAGATAGCACGGACATTCGATTTTTAAATTTAATTTAATAAGTGGTTATTCAAAGAATTATTCTTTGAAAGGAAACTCCAAAAAATACAATAGATTAAACATATTTATTCTTTATCTATATTACTTATTTTTTACCACAAACATTCAAAACGTATTTCATAAAATTCCTTTAAAATCAGTCATTGACAATTATTAATAATAATTATTAAATGGAACATTATATCGGTTGCTGTCTGTTTTATAAAGAAAACAATTTTTCTTTGAACTTATAAGAATTTTTAATTCACAATAAAATGATAAAAACAAAAATCAAAAAGGTACTCCATACATGGAGAATATATTTTATTAATACACGTATGAATAGAAAATTTCTATTTTATGGATATTATCTCACGCCTGATTAAGAATGTATTAAGTTAAATTTTCAGTGATGAACTTTTTTTAATACTGAAATCTATCTAAATCTTTTCTAAATCTTTTGTATCGTTAAGTAGTTGAGTAGCAGGATCGGTAAGAGGAACGTAGGAAACTTGCATTAGCTTTTTCTTTGAGATCGTGCCATCGATATTTTTATCTACCTGAAGCAGATCTTGAAGTCTCCGAAAACCTTCTATGGTAACAACTGGACATATTAGTCGTCCACCAGGAGCCAATTGGTCTATCAACTAAAATACACGACGATACAATTTGTTTTTCAGTGATTAAACCATGTAAAAATTCATTTATAAAATCTATTTCACCTGCTCTGGTAAAACATCTGCTGCCGCTCCAACGTGTATCGCGTTGTAAGGGCCGTCAGCAGCACGTCCCAATCTGCCGTCTCCCACTAGGTGCATTTATAATGACCTGTTGTTAGACTTCGGTCTATCTTTTATGTAATGCACAGCAATGTCACGCAGTTGGTGGATACAGTCCTGTTTCATTCTTCGTAGCAATACCTACTCCACGTGGGTGGATCACGAGTGTCTTTTTTTTTATTTGAACATATCTATGTTATATTCAGACTTTTGAATACGTAGCTTTTCTTTTAATATTGTATGTACATACGTACAAAAAAAAATATGATTTACAATTTTCGATTTACAATAATGTTTCTTTCTTTTCTCCGACACCAACTAACCGTGAATAAAAAGTGCAACATGTTTATAGTTTATATTCTTACCTATGAATTTAACACGTCCTTCCTTGAGGAAATGCGTACAATCTTCGCGTACATTTTTTGTTGCCATTTCTATCAGTTCAGGAATGTGATCGATACCGATCACATGACCGCGTGAACCCACCATATATCCCATGCAAGCCGACAAATAACCAGATCCCGAACCAACATCCAATGCTTTAGCACCATCAAACAGTTGGTCGGACAAAATAGACAAAGCATACGCATGCTGCAAATCATACATTATTTTTATTACCTACTAATACTGTCTTCAATCAACTAAGCTAACAATTTTTCCACACAATTTTGCCTGCTTTGTGAATACTAAATGAATACTGAATGAACATACAAATGTAATGGATCAATATGGATAATTTTAATTATTCATTGATCTAATTAAAATAAATAGCAATTAAATACCAACCATGTGGGGAGCACTAATTGTAACATTGTAACCAATGTTTCTTGGTCGGTCAAGATAAGGATCTGGTTCATGGCAATACTTTGCTCTGTCGACAGCAAGCATTGCTGCTTCAGCTCTGTCTGTTGTCAAGATACCTGCCTCTGTAATATAATTTTTTATAAGCTACATAATAAAGGACATAATTTAAAACAGTATTGTACACTAAGTTTCACCTTTTAGTTTAGATACCATCTCTTGATTTGTAGTACCACTGCAGTGCCATGCCATGTTTCACGCAAAGTATAATGTTGAACAAAGAATCTGATTAGCTACCTGTCAAATGAAAATATGTACACCAAGTTAAATATATGTAACAGTTATAATTAAAAAATTCAATTAATTCTGTGAATTCATAAATGCATAATATATATCAGATGGCTCGAGTAAATGCATAGCCTGAACGTTACACAAGCAGGACGTTACGTGATACTTTCTAAATAAACCGAATCCAACAAATCACATGTTTTCACACTTAAATTTATTTTAAAAAAGATTTCATTATTGTATAAACAAAGTTAACATTACCAACGTTTGTTAGCCTAATAATATGGCCGTGACATATAAAGAATTGGTTTGTAACAACGATTATAGCGAAATCTATTTTTGATATTCTTATATTAATTCGTCTCCATTATCCGATGGCATTTGTACAAACGATGCCATTGTTTTTATTACGAATACTTATTAAATTCGAAGAATATTTTTACTAGGTTAAATATGTACCTGTTTACAGTAGTGTGGCTCCGAGAAATTGCAAGAAATACGTTTGCACATATATATACATATGTTATACGTATACATGTTGCCGCTACATCTCCCATCTATAATATGCACACATAAGTGCATACTTTCATACCTTCATACAGTAGGTTTCTCTGGGAAAAGAAAATTGATCAAACATCATGCCAATAATAATGATATTGTTAACGTTCGGAACATTTATTGTTACATATGTATTTAACGAAATACAAATGCAATTTTTCCATTAATTTTTTTTCAGTTTTCCGACTTTGTTAATTTAAAATTAAGTTGGAAAAGTTTGGCTGAAAGTTATAATGAATCGTTTTAGGTATCTATTCGAATTTTACTTATTATTCAGGAATTGCAACATGCACTAATGGTATCGTGGTATCATCACCTGACTAATAGGAATAAGCGTATCTATGTTAAAAATTAGAATACGTAGGAACGTATAAATTAACTTGAAGGCATAAGTCATAAGAGCCATAAATTAGCGTTACACCAAGAGTCGGTAAAATAGACTATGCGATAAATCCATCACGTACGTTCGATTACGTTGAGGTAACAGTAGTGAAATGATTTTAATCGGGAGTATTAGGATGTTTTTAAACTTATTTTACGAAAAGATTGCGATACGAGTAGAAAAATCGATATTTAAGAAAACAATGAAATCTCAGGTAGAAACCGAATTTGATTTCTACTAAGATTCGCAAAGAGCAACGATACAAGAAAGGTAAGAAAAAGGGGGAGGAAAGTAAGTTTGATGGGGCTGATAAAGTGACGTTCGATTTCGTGGGTATTTGTTGAGTACTTAAAACTAAAGACACTAAACGTGACAGAAGATAAGAATGGCAGATTCGATTCGCTCGAGTTTGGTAATGATTGGTATAAATTCAAGGAAGAATCGAATCTTTAGTCATAGAACAATCGGGGGGCACGAAAAAGGAAAATAGTTAAATCGCTGACGAAAGTCGAAAAAAGAAAGGGTGAAAGTGCGAAATAAAAAATGACAGAGGGAAAGAAAGGTGTCGTACCAGGAAGGTTTCGACAGCTATTTGTAGCGTTGGTCGGTAAGTTCTTTGGTAAAATCAGTTACGACTCAAATCGTTACAGCTAGCTTATCTTTTTTTATTTCCTTTTCTTTCTTTTAGCGAACATTTCGACTTTTTCGTTTGGAACGATGGTCGGCTGGCTGTCACCGTCGATACCGCAATTACAAAGCGACAATCCTCCCGTGGATAACGAACCGATGACAGACGAAGCCGCGTCCTGGTTGACAGGGATCATGTGTCTATCGGCAGCTTTCGTCAGCTTGATAGTCGGTGTGATAGCGGACAGATACGGACGTAAAGTAGCCGGTTGTCTGATGGGTTTGCCCCTTTGTGCCACCTGGTTGTGTACCATCTTTGCAAGTAAACACATGCATTTGTTTATCGCGCGTTTCTTCTCGGGGATGAGCGGTGGAATGGCTTTGTTTTTGATACCGCTCTACGTGTCCGAAATCGGTTGCGATGAAATTCGCGGTATGCTAGGCAGCCTGTTGGTATTTCTTTTGAACGGTGGTCTTTTATTGGGTTACATACTCGGCGCGGTGCTCCCCTATCGCGTGTTCACGATCAGCATGCTCGTATGGCCGTTACTTTATATCTTGTTCTTCGTGTTCGTACCGGAGTCACCCGTGTACTTGTTGCGACGTAATCGTCTGGACGATGCTGCGAGGTGAGCAATGAATTTATCTAATCGATCGTTACCATTATCTTTTAATAAAATTCGTACGATTTAGTTTCGGATTTCGTATTTCTGGCAGATCCCTAAGCTGGCTAAGAGGGGGGGACAAGTTGACAGCAGAGCGGGAGATGGTACGTCTGCAACTGGAAGCAAAAGAGCGAAACGTTTCGGGGAGATCGGTCAAACTATCGGATTTATTTCGAGATCGAGCGACGACGAAGGGACTGTTGATCGTACTGGGGCTGTTCGCTGGTCAACAATTAGCTGGAATAATCGCGATGGTAAAAAAGGAAAAGGATTGCTACGATCAGTGGCGGCTTGCGTGAAGCGCTGAGGGGTTTGACTGTGTGCGCATGCGCACATAGGAAGCTGCGCGCGACGCTGCGTAGTAGAGAGAGCACTATCGCTCCCGCAGTGCTGGTTTTTTAAAACAAAGGCTAAACATTTTCTGGAGCAGCACCCCCACTAATTTTACCTACGAGCCGCCACTGACTACAAGCAATATGTACGGTATCTTGATTATTTAACCCCTTTCATTTTTTCGCAGATAAGCTATACGGAAACTATATTCAGAATCGCTGGAAGTTCATTGTCTCCGAACGGTTCAGCGATTATCGTCGGGGTCATTCAAGTATTCGGCTCCTGCTTATCTACCGCGTTCATGGAAAGAATCGGTAGAAGACCGTTGCTTCTAACATCTGCCGCGGGAATGGGTGTTTGTCACTTCGTAATCGGAGTCTTCTGTTACCTGAAAACGCTCGAATATGACGTTGCCAGTTTCAGTTGGATCCCCGTCGTAGCTTTGTCCGTTTTTATGATTACCTATGCATTGGGATTAGGACCAGGACCGTATGTGATATCTGCCGACATACTCAGTCAAGACATATCCAGTTTAGTCGCTACCATTGGAATGTTCTTCGCATGGAGCATGGCGTTCGTTGTCGCTAAACTGTTTCCGACCTGCGTCAGCCTGTTGGACGTGCACGGTTGCTTCTTTCTACTGACTACCTTTTGCGCGGCTACGTTCGTTTTCATCTTCACTATCCTTCCAGAAACGAAAGGTCAACCTCGCCAACTAATTTTGGATCGACTTAACGGAAGGGTGAATAAAAAACAATATGTTTTGTCGAGCAACATTATCGGAAAAAACATGTCGCCATCCGAATCGATTTGAGGATTCATCTCTCATCATCAGCAGCGAATGTGTATGTATGGTTTCGTAAATCGATAGAGGACTATTCGATGTTTAATAGTCCCCTTGTCACAGTTTCTAGTCACATTGGACTATTGGGTGACCAATAGAACGAATCGTTTCTATTTATATAAGGTGGGTTATGATTATTTCTCCGATATTGTCTCGTCATCACGTTAGAAGAGAATTCTTAATCATCGTCTAATCGTTGTCGTACACTCTTATTACCAATTTTTCGTTTTTTAAAGGCAGTCGGTCGCCTATCTTCGTCACTGTCTCCTGTGTCGATCTGCGTAATGGTTTTCTCTTTGAACGTTCTCTGGGAAATAGGTTGTTCCATTTTCTCGAAGACAGGTAACTGCAGTTGCTTCTGTTGTGGCAACTGTAAATCCACCGGTTTCGTTTCTCTGAAAAATAACAGCGTCTCAACACGGTTTCGACTTAATCAAAGTATCCACCCTTCGAATACTTACATCTTCCGAACGGTTCGCCAAGGACCGTAGGGATGTGACTTTTCAGGAATACTGTAGTCCCTTCTATATGGTCGACTTTCTTCTTCGATTGTTGTTGACGTTGTTATCGCGTTTTGATTGTCTTCGGTAGATCCCGAGCATGCTCGAACTGCGCTCGCTTTCCTTAATTCTTTCAACCTCTCCCTTTCGGCATTGGCTCGTTTCTCCTCGAGAATTTCCACGTTTGCAACTGCTTCTTCCATTTCCAATTGCTTCAACAATTCCTCTTGAATTGCTTGTTCTTTCGCTTCTTCTTCTTGCTCCGCGAACGTCATGTATCCCTCTTCAGGGGGTTCCCACACAGACTCTGATGCAAAGTAATATACGCATTGATAATGATGATGGTGACGATGATTGGAACGCGTCAAGTCAAACATGGGGTAGGCAGGAATCGAATTCGATATCCTTCAAGATCCTCTGTTACGAGGGTCTCGAGGTTACAATCCCACTCTAGATAGCACTAATAGTAAACCCACCGTTGGTTTCGATGTTCCAATAGTAAGTGTATCCTTCGGGACTTTGAGCCTCGTACCAAAGCTTGTGGACGGGTTTCGTGGGACGATCTTCTTCAACAATCTTTTTTCCTTTCCCTTTTCCTTTGCCCCCTTTGCCTTTTCCTTGGCTCTTGTTCTCGTTTTTTTGTTGATGCCTGATATGATGCGACGTCGTCGTACTTCTCGATAGAATTGGATCGCACGGGTCGATTTCCTGAGAAAACTAAAACGTTTCGATGTATCTCGGTGAAATTCGATTTCGAAGCTTCTCCTCTCGAACGATTGCCGAACGATTCGTTTTCTTTCGTGGGCTAAAATTCTTACCTGTTGATTATTGGCCGTCGACGCGCGATGGAAATTCGCCGCCTGCAAGAAAGTTTCGCACGAAAAATGTTCATTTTGTATTCTGTTTTCAATCAACGTTTAGATGGTATAAATAACGCATTTAGATACACACATCTTTCTTGTCTGGTTTATTCATCTTTTCCTTGATGATTCTGTCGGCGGTCATGTCTCTCGTGTTGTTTTCCACATCTTTCAGGTAAGCTGCCATGGCTGCCTGAACGTACAATTATTTTATAGAACACGAAAGATAATATTAAAGAAAAAGTGAAATGAAATAAAGCGAAAAAAAAAAAAGAAATCGTACGTTTTCCATCTTTTTAATATCATTTTCAATCTTTTTATTTTGCTTCGCCTGTTTCGCGCTATTCTTGTGTATCTCTTTAAGCCGTTTGCTAACATTCTCCTTGTGTTTCTTGCCACCTTCGTGAAAATCGATACTAGGTTTGTTGTCGGCGATCCAACATTTGCAGAAATCGCAGAACTTGCGACCTTGAGACTTCCAGTAATCTGCCCTGGAACAAGATACAGAACAATTTTCACGATGGAAGTTTAAGATAAGAGTAGAGAAGGATGGAAAAGAAGGCGACGCTGTAGATTGTAGGAAATAGCTGCTTCCGTTTCACAACAACGCGGTTGCATCAAGGCTCGCGTTACGTTCAATACATGATGCACCGCACGCGTGCACAGTTGACCTTTCGCGACTAGATATTCAACAACGATATTGTCCAGGTATTCTCTCTCTTTTCTATTCTGAAAACTGTTTTCGAAATGCATTGTCGTTAATAACAATATCCCGTCGGGATATCGTGGAAGAGATCACGAGAACTAAGAAGAAACGACTAACAACAATTAGCCAGCAATTAAACAGTGACTTTATTGCCTCGAGGAATACTCGACCTTAGAACGATTGTCGCGACACGGCAACTAACTTTCAGCAAGATCCACCTCGAGTTCTTTTTAACGCGTTGATTGCCACGATGAAAATAAGACGCGAATCTCTTCGCAAAGGATAACCGTGATATCCGACCCGTCGCGGAAGTTTAACGGTGACATTTGTATTAATTGTTCGCGCGAGAAGGTGACGATTTCGTAAGGTTCGTTTGGCCGCCACGAATCGGTAGATGTTTCCATTGGGACGGCTCGTCGTGCACCCTGTAAATCACAACCGTCCCAACGATGCTGTGCTCTGTTAATAATAGAGCTTGTATTAAGAGCGATATCGTTCTATAAATAGTTAGAACAGAGATATTAAGCTAGTAGTTTGTAAAACGAGCAAAGAATGCACCATTAGCGTGTTTCGAGGGACTAGAAGAACAGCTAGAGTGTATAACGCGTTGACTGGGGTACGGGCCATCGATCAACAGGCTCTTACAAAACTCGTACATCACCTTCTCTAACATCGAATAATAAACTTTCCTACTGTGTTTGCTAAATAGTTTGTTGCTCCATAATCTAGGTACAATAATCGAGCTCGTTTGAACGCTGGAACAGCGGTGACACGGCGGGCAAAGCGTTTGATTGGGAACACGCGGTGCCGCATTTGCAAAACGAATGAAAATCCTGTGAATCGACAGTCGAAAGGTACAGCCTTTCCTGACGGATCGAACGCGGCACGCGAATAGAAGCCTCGAAGAATCATGTTCTCTCTAATAAGTCAGCCAACGCTGGTGTATATTTTTGTGCTCGCTTTTTGGCACGCGCCCGTTCGATTACGATACGCGTTTGCATTCGAACCGATTGAAATCTCGTCGTGATCGTACGAGTAACCTTAAGCGAGGAAATTATCGGGGGGAAAATTATTATCGAACGTTTACGGGCAGAGAAATTGATTTGCACGGAACGATTGGAAAACGAGGAAAAACCGTGAACGTTTCGCAAGAGTGGTCGTTTCGAGCGAATGTCAGACGCGAACTCGGATCCGCGTCGTGAAACTAGTCCGTTGCAGAGCAGAAATATCTTCGATAAATTTGCTAGCAGCCTAGCCAAGAACAATTGGCACCTACGAAATGTATCCCGTAGACGAGGCACGCCCTTAATTTTACGCAACCATTTATTTTTAGACGATAGAATGCACAGTGAAACGCGATTGCATCCGTTTCTTCGCGAACGCTATTAACAGCCTTTTAAAGCTTTTCTTATCTTTTTTTTATATTTCAAACGGAAGAGGCTTTCGCGAGCTTTCTCGCCAGGGATACAGGCTCGATACCTATGGAACTGTTCTTATTTCCTTCGAAAATACATCGCGTCGCGTCGTTCCGAACGGACCTCTTTAGATTGTTTTATAGCTCTACGCTGGAACCGGGGGGGAAAAAAGGTTCCTGGTTTGTTCTAATTTTACGTCGGAGGGTTGTAAACATCTTCCGGCGTTCGAAAGCCGCGTCATCGTAGAGAGGTGTTGTTAAACGTAACCAGAAAACTTCCTATGATGTCAGTTTGAAGTAAACGCGATACATCGTGATCCAATCTCCTAGAGATCGGCCTTACAAAATGTAAAATCTTTGAACAGCCGCGGGTTGCTCATCCCTGCTCCACAACGTGCACTCTTCTTCAACATCGAAGCACCTGATGCGGTGCTTTCCAAACGATGCTCTCGAAAAGAGCGCGAAGGGTTTCTTGCGATGGAACGCCGCTGCTTTTTGCCTTTGCTCTAACCTCCGTTGAAACGGCACCCTCGATCAACGGTAATGTACTTTAGCTCGTTCGAGGCTACGACGAACAGGAACATCCCCCGATCGAAGGAGAAACGAGCGCGACAAACGCGGCGCAAACCTTTCGCGAATCGAACTTTCATATAATAAAAACAAGCAGACACGCGGAGGAAATATCGCAAACATCGTTTAGCAACGGACACGAAGACCTTCAACTTCGTAGCAAGCCGCGGACGTAAAGTAATCGCTTAGACTTGATGGTTTATCCCGTTGAAATAGTACGTACATAGGTATTTACAAGGGAAAAATCCAATGTCAGCAACCCTAGGGTTAACCCACCGGGGGCCGTAACTGTCAACCAGTCGAAAATGTCCAACTATTTTGTGGCGACAAGCGAGGTTCTTGGCGGAGGTAAAGGGAAAAGGCCGTAAGAACTTTTTGGAACGTTCGAGCCGTCGGGTCAAAGGGTTATAAAACAGTAATTCATACCGTTTTGCCAACTCCGCAATTTCTATTTCAAGTATACTTAGGCATACTTTTTGCTATCGAATTTATACTCGTAGCCGATGAAGAATGAATTTCAATTATCGCTGATGTTTGTTGTCGAAGTGAAAGCTGTTTAAAATTATCGATCGCTTAATTTTCTTAGCGGACTGTGTTGGTCTTGTCGAGCAGGAACGATATTTTCGGAGTATTTTCGCGGGAACATCTGCGTTTCTTTACTCGTCGAATAAAGTTCGACGATCCCGATCAACAAACGTCCGTCGAAATGCTTTTTACGTAGGTTCGCGCGTCTGTAGGATTCGTAGCTTCCCCGAATCGTAGCGATAACACGGTGAACATTTTAAACAGGCGATCGATACACAATACCGGACGAAACGTGAAACAACGGTAAGCAGAGACGCGAAACAACGATCGTTATTTCTGGAAGATATTTCAGCGTCTGGTTTATGAGTTACAGGAGTTTAAACGGCACGATGCTGAGGTAAATTATTATTATTAACGCGTGGATCGCGTATTCGCGGCCGCGGCTGCGGTAGTTTGGGCCGGTCTGTCGATCACCTCGCTCCTCGTTTCTAAACGTTTCAACATACGATATTATTGGAGGGAAGTAACAGGATACAGGGGACAAAGAACTGTAACAACGTGGCTTGTTAAATACTGTTTAACGCGGCAACAGTGATTATTAGCAGTTAATAATAGAACGAGAGTTCTTTTGAATCGATGAGAACGCGATACATGACCGTGTATTGCGTTTCTATATAGGGGAAGGTCGGTAAACACGTACCACGTATGTACTAATAATAAATTTCTAAAGGCTCGCGATGGACGTGCCTGCGATCCAAACGTTTCATTTTTCATCGACGATACGTCCAAAAAATCTTTCAACTTTCTCGTTATCCCTGACACTGCAGACGCTGCAGGCCATGAAAACACCCTCGATGTGCCACGATCGATCATAAATCGCACGGCGAACAGTTGAAATTTTCTAAGTAAAAATATTTTATTATTCTGTACGCATATTTTTTTTTTTTCTCGCATATCTTACACGACGTAGTACAAATATACATTATTCTCTCTGTAAACTGTAAATTGTAAACTATAAACTGTAAACTGTTAAGGTATACTATAAGTAGATAAGGATGGAAATTTGGTAGCTTTGACTAGCGTCTTAACTAGATTGGTCCTTTAATAAGATAACAGCAAGGTCTGTGTCGAAAACGATAAACTTGCGAGGAAAAAGAAGACCTATGCTAAATAGGCACTTTGAGGTAATTAACAAGAGCATTTGCCCTTTCGTAACGCGATTCTTAGCACGCAAACTCAAAAACAAAACGAAGAAATAATAAATTAACGAGGAGAAAAGAGAAAAACGAATATGACAGGGAATCGTACGATTTACTTTGTAACGATTAGGCATAGTTTCGCATTTACTATCTCTTGCCAAGGCGTAGGAAAAGTCAGAGAAATAAAACTAGAGGAGATTTGTAAGGAAATACGTTCGAGTTTGCATCGATATCTCCACTGCCCGATCAGCCGATATACATATCAGCAAAGTGTCATAGAGTCTTTTAACGATCACCGATGGCAATGATAAACGTATCTACCGTAAGAAAGACCTTTCGTCGTATCCGTAGAAAAATCCTAAGCGAAAGAATCTTTCTCCTTGGACCCTTGTGTAGATAAGCTTAATCGATGTCTAATACTCTAACGAATTTACGATAAGAATCAAACGCGAACACCGTAATTCGACTAGAATCGGGAATTGATCGTTGTCGTTGTGTTACCTATAAGAGAAAGAAAAAAAAAAAAAAAAAAAATGAATTCTGCGAAAACTAAAAGCGACGGAGTTGCGAGGATCGCGATCAATAATCTTCCAATTCTATCAGTCTAATATCAGGTACTTGGAATACTATCGTTCACGAGTCGCTTCGGTAAACGCGTACCGCGACCGATGGACAGTTTAGTTTGCCGATCTTTCAACGATTGCACGATAAGGGAAAAAAGGGAAAAGAGTCAGAGACAAGTCGATGGACGAACGAAAGGAATAAAGCGATAGGTAATCGGTGTGAAAAGGGAAAATAGCGGGGCAAAAGGCGCGCAGTCGTCTCGGTCGAACAGTTATCGAGAGCGATAGCGGTCGCGGTCGTAGTCGATACGTATCATCCGGGTGGCGTTTTCTTTTGCTTCGTCAGCTCTAGAAGGATGGGATAGTGAAGATCCGGACAATACTCCTGGCTATGCTCCAACAACTCCAGATGCATGGACCAAATGTTCGCGTCGTAACGGTCTATCTGTCGGGCGACGAAACCTCGTTTGACCGCTGCTTCCGCGAACTTTTGGAAGGTCGTGCCGCGTCTCGGTGCCATCAGCAACGCGACCCCGTCGTTCGTCAAACAGCCGTAAATCGTTTCCACCAAGTCCGAACGGGCCTCGTCGAAGAACAGACAATCCGCGCACAGGATCACGTCGTACACTTTTTCCAGAATTTTCCACGCATCCTTGCCGCTTCCGGTCCAGCTCTAAGTAAAAATTCAATTCAGAATCTCCGGAATATCTGTCATCCTGGCTTTTTCAAAACGAGAAACGAACGTCTCGCTAGGATACGCGCTAGCCAATGCAATGTATCGAATCATAAAAAGGAATCAACGAGCGTCGAAACGATTCGTTTCTCGTCATTGATCGACCGTGTGAAAATATCGATCGATCGAAGGATTCAAATGGTACTACTCGCGGTTGCGGAAATTTTACGATCCAACCCGTAGATTCGCGAGAGAAGGAAATCACCTTGATTCGAAGGCCATTGGATTGCGGATGTAGGAACGTTTTCGCCGACCTGGCTGCTCTGAACATCTTAGCCGCTTTAGCCCACTGAAGAACGCCGCATTCGACAAAATCGGCCATGCCGTTTCTAGCCACGATGCTGCGAACGTTGTTGACGCTGGTCGCATTACCGTCCGTCAACGTGACTTTCCTCGGATCGCAATACTTGGCGGCGATCACGCCAGCCAGGCAACTCATACCGCCACCGAGTTCCAGTATTCTCGCGTCCTGACAGATTTGTCGGTTCTTCAATAGATAGTAGGCCAAGCATTCCTCCGACGGCCAGACGCATATGTTCCCTGTATTGTTGAAGCCGATCAATTCGTTGGCGGTAAAGTTCTTCTTTATCCGACGTATCTGCACGGTGAACAGTTTATTCTCCAAAACGGTGGAATACTCGTACCAGCTGGTGGAGTCTGGCTCGGTAGCCGGCTTCTCCGTACGAGCTACCATTAACAAACCGAAGCTGGTGAAACGACGAACCGACACCTCGTCCTCTGCCGAATCATCCTCCGCGTTCATGGACACCGATTCCTGCGAACCCATCAACGCCTTAGCCAGGATACGCCATCTTCTCTGTGCCGTACTCCTTTTTCTCGATAACATCTCCTCCAACATCTCGCTCGTTGTTTTCTCGTCGTTGTAACGGGCAAAACTCTTCTCGGACATGTCCTTCGATTCCGACGCGTTCCATCGAACGAACGTTTCTCATCTACTTAGTGAAACGTAGAAATCTTCAAAGAGTAAGAACCTGTATCCTCGATACAGCCACCGAACGAGCCGTTTCGCAAAGTCGCGCGACACGACGGATAGGAAAGCAGAGGACGATTCTTTTCATTGTAACGGACAACGTCGAACCGCGATGAAGTTACGGGCAGGCGTTGAAGTTCTTTTTTTTTTTTTCTTTTCACGGAACGAGGGTAAAGAAAATAAATGGAAGCGGAAACAACCCCTGCGCGAACTCAGGAGCGGCTGTTCTCGCTTGCCTGACACGTGAAAACGGGAATGAACGGGAATGAACGAAAGAACGGTTCGAGACTAGAAGAGCGTGAAGCCAACTTCTAACTCGCGCGCCGAGCGGCCGCGCCTCGCGCCTCGCGCCACGCGGATCTCGAGCGTTCGCCGCGTCTCATTCGCGCATGCGCGTCTCCTCCTATATCCCCTGTATCCTACCCGTTTCTCCCTAAGTACGCACATGCTTCTTCCCCTCTCTCTACTTACTACACGGTACTTCACCCTGCTATCCATCACCCCTTTCTACCTTTTTCCCTTAGTTTCGTTTCACTCTCCTCCACTTTGATTCATTTCTTCTCTACTCGATCGAACCGTGATGCTCTTGGTCTTCGAATCTCCCTCCTACCCCCCATTTTTTTTAAACCTATTTTTTCTCTCTCAGTCCTGGCAATTTTCCGAAAATCAGTTTCCAACGATGCGCCGTAATAATTAATAATATTAGTTAAGAAAAAACAGTGAAAAAGGTGTAGCTAGTCGTTGCCCGTAAAAGTTTCAAGGGAGCATACGTACAGACGCCAGTCGAGGTATGCATTTTCAATCCTATTATAGGCTGTTATTATTCTCAAATTCGATTACCATTCGATAAAAACAGTTCGACAGGAGGAAAAAATCAATACAAATTTTTCTGTTTCCTGTCTATTCACTTTTTTTTCTCGGAAATGCTTTTTCTGCCTCCTACGGCACATGACTGGGCGCAGTTCGCCGGCGAACGGAATAAACATTCGTCTTTATTTCTTCGAATCTTGTCCCGATCGGTCAATGCGAAAATCGAGGATCAAGTGGAATCGAGAAAAATATTTACAAGAAAATTCCATCGCGTTAAAGGAATCGATGCCTGACTATGCGAATAGAAATAAACAGTTGCGGATTTTCGATTCGTGACACCGTGAAATCTGTAGTCAATCGTAATTGTGTTCGTCGCGATATCCAATTTATCTTAAACGAGCCAATCTCTAACAGTATTATTACGTAAAACGTGCAACTTAGCAGAATACCGCTGTTTTATGCATCGAAACTGAATTACAAGGTTCTTTTATTTACGATGTAAAAAGCGGACTGGATTGTTCCTCGTGTTAGCTGGCTTTTGAATTATCGCAACTTGACGAGTCTATTTCCGCGTATTTCCTATGAACGCTATATCTATCATCGAACAATTGGCAACTGGCACCGAATTCTACACATGTATCGACGAGTACGCATCTAGAAAGTGCTTACGGTTATGCTTATGCAACTACAGAGAGGAGGAAGGGAAGCAGAAAGAAAAAGAAGAAAAAAACGTGAAACGAGGGTGCGTGAGAGGGGCTCTGTTCGTATGTAATCTATTTCATATTGTTTGACACGATTAAAACCTAGCGGGAGCAATACTTGAGCTTCCGTCTGAAAGCGAAGCTGATAGCCTTTCCGTGCCAGAACGAATTGCGAACTATGCGATAAAATACTGGCAAATGGAACAATCGACCTTTCGATGCCTATTCTTTGGCTATTTCAAAGTAGATGATGCAGCGATCCGGAAGATAAACGAGTGGATGAGGACGATAAATTCAGAAGGAATTGTATTCTCGCGGAATCAACGAACGTGGAATCGACGTTGTAATAATACGTGTATTTCGAAAATTATTAAAATATCGTGTAAACGATGTTACGACAACGAGCATGAATGCTTTTCATGGTGAAGCTTACTTTACGCTGATAAAGTAAATGACAACGTAAACTAGGTTTAACCGAAATAGATCAAGCGAGCAACGAGGGGTTGCTTTCTCTTGTTAACGACATCAACCCCCACCCTTCAATCGAGAGAAAGCATCCGTGCTCGTCGCTATACACGGCGCTCGAGTGATGACAGTGCACCTCGACTTGTAACTTGCAACAGTCACGAAACAATGCCATATCGCAAACTGTCAGGGTAATAAACTGTCAATCAAAATGTCTTTACACCTTTTTTACGATGTAATCCGATGATATTACATTCTTATTAGCAAAGATATTTGTTTACAACAGAAAATATTCGATAAACATGATACTTACATATTTTAAGATTCGGAATGTCGCTGTTGTTTCTTCATCAATTATGATAAATGACACACAGTATATATTTTATTTCAAAATACACGATCTTTCTGTGGGTTGTTTGCTGATCTAACCTCAAAAGATTATGGACTTTCGTTTGAAATATTCATTCACTCGCGCGTTTCGTTAATATGTTATTCGTGTTATATATAATTGAGCAATTAATGCAGTAATTAAAATCTGCATTACAGCATAAGAACTATATGAAATTTTATTTTAATTATATCGGACACAACACAACAATTCAACACGTAAAAACGTAACAGCTGATAACAAAACTGACGTAAACAGTAAACTACCGCCATCTAAGGTTCGAAAACTTTTAGCGGACATCATCGTTTTGAACCTAGAGTGCGCAACAGAACGTGCAACTGATGGCAACAAAAGTTGATAGGTCTATTCTATTCGTCGTCTGTGCTCGTGAACGTATATACCTCATTTGGGATGGTACTTAGTGTGTTTTTATATTTTTCTTGAAAAATGTTAATTTTAAAAGGTTCTGACTGGTTTGATACGTCGAATTTTTTGTTCACTGAATTTGATAACAATTGTACAAATTATTATGGTTGTTGGTACATGACAACGGGAAAAGTAATCGGAAGAAAAGTGGAACGCGTGTTACGCGTATTAGTTGAAGATTTAATACCTTAGCCTATTCAGAGAATCAAACTCGTTAGCTATGACGTAAATTATAATCTAGAATATAACACGATGAATAAGGCAAGAGTAGGGTCAGAGTATATCCCGTTAGTAGAAGACGAAATGTCGAAAGCGCGACTTGTTTTGTCTTTCTCCAAGTTAGCATGGTTTACTGTTTCCTTACCATTTTTGGCATTTATTTTTTGTATTGTTTGGTCTGTTTTATATAATTTCGAGCACTCTACTTCTACTCATTGCAAGGTACATCAAAAGTTTAGAGCATTTGTTGCTTGTACTTTTTGGTATAAGATTTGTACACGTTGAGCAGTAGATATATATATATTTTTCTGTTAGGTTTATAATTTCTTACCATCTGTCTCTGCTGCAATTGGGCATTATAAGCCGCAAAGAGACATTTGGAAAGCTGCTATAGCGGTGCAAGCAGTGATAAGGGTTTTGGTATTATTAATGTATTATCGTTTTTATAAAGAACGTATATATAAGTGGGCACAAAGTATATGTAATATTGCAATATTTACATATGCCATTGAAAACATATCTCTTGTAACTTTAAGTTTCTGGACTTCCGATGAAAATTATGGTAGGTATAAAAATTTGTCAAAATATTTCAAACATGAAATAATATATGTTTCTTTTACAGCCTTTCACAAATTGTCTTTCATAATGTTTCTAATAACATCTTTTATACATATGCTTGTGGCATATTTTATTATGAAGAACTGTTTGAACAGTACCAGAGAATATTCTGAAATTGCTTCATTAAAATGGAAGCGCAGAGCCATGATATTTAATTTGTCCTGTGTAGCATTCGCGTGTTACTTTTTCTATAGACATAATAAATATTGTGAACCATTAGGTGAGTTAATTATTATTAAAGAAAAGAAGGAAAGGCTTTTGTTTATGAAATACGATCGTTTCGTTGCAGTCTACTCTATGTTCGCGTTAAGCGAATATGGAGTTGTCCTTTCAAATATGGGGTTCCATTCAACTGCAGCTTGGGATTTTGCAAATTCAAGGCTTATGATATCAGGAACTGGGTTTAGAATAATTTAAAGCATTTTCGAAAAAAAAAAAATCGTTATTATTTTCACATAGCTGTAGAACGCGTTTTTCTATAAACATTAAATGTTTGGTGGTTTTAAATCTTTATTGTATTATTTTAAAAGTTTTTTTTCATTTCTGTATTCCGAAATATTTAAATCGTTAAAAAGTAACTTTTATTTAATTATTAATAATGCGATTATAACTGTAAACTGTTTAATGTATTGTTGTGACAAAAAAACAAAAAGTCAAGCACGGTTAGCTTACACATATTTCATTACCATAAATGCAATGTTACAATGACATGAAAATATGAAAAATTAAAATATCACTTTCAAACAAATATTCGTTTAAAAACAACGGATTTTATGTGAAAAAAATATAAAGTTTCGTGTGTTTTATTCTATAGCGAGGTAAGGGTATAAGAAGTTATGCAAATTGTTTCTACCTGTACAAAATTCACAACTGCTTCGCTGTCGTATACAGTGAATGTGTAATGATAATTTTGGATCTTTCAAAATTTAAAATCGGTATCCAATTTATTGGCAATGAATTTAGCAATTGCCATGGAGCTAGTTGCGGCAGGCGAAGGCGCGTTACGGACGTGAATCACTCTGCTACCTATAGTACCTTTTCCCACGTCGAAAACAAAATCGTCCACTAATTTACCATCGTTGTCTAGTGCCTGCGCTCTTACACCCGCTGGTCCTCTGCACGATTGAACGCATGAATAGACAAGATAATGATAGAATAGCAAAATGTACAGATAAAATGGAAAAAATTGTATTCACCTTTTTATATCTTTGTAAGATAGCTCGGGGATGAATTTTCTCAAATCTCTCACGACGAGGGGATAGAAAATTGATTTAATTACTTCCTTACAACCTGGTATCAAATATCGAAAGCAAAGCTTGTACAGTCCTGGAAATTTCGCCATTTCTATACAATCTCGTATGTTTATATCACGCCATCTAAGAAAGTACAATAATTCGATTATTACATTATCAAGTATGTATATGAGTGCACAAGACAGCTTATTAATTCGTATATACCGATAACCCTCTCTGGCAAATGCTAAAACGGCGTTCGGACCCAGCCATATATCGTTGTTCATTCTAGGTGTAAAGTGAACCCCTAAAAACGGAAATCTAGAATCTGGAACAGGGTATATATTTGTAGTACATAAATGCTTTTTATCTTCGCTTAGTAATAAGTATTCTCCACGAAACGGAACGATTCGTGGACTGAGATCGCATCCTGTCATAACTGCTAGACGATCTGAATGCAAACCGGCACACGTTAATACGTATTTCGCTGGTATGCACTGCAACGTAAAATAATAATGTAAAGAAATTGCAAATGAAATACAGTAGAATATAGAATAGTAAGTATGAAAGAGGAAACGCACTCTGTCCTTTGATTGTACCGATATTGGTGATAGTTGTTCTTGTCCTTTCGATTCCGACATTTCAGCGAAGCCGGTTACTTCGTAGTTAAAAAATATTTTACCGCCCATCTTTTGAAATTCTTCGGCAAAGTGTTTGCAAACCACTGCCCAATCCACTATACCTGTCCATGGTGACCACAGTGCCTTTTCTCCCTGTGCGATATGTACGCGTTTTTCATTGCTTTAGAAAATTTAGGTAAACAATGTTTTTTTTTTTTTTTTTTTTATGAAGAAAAATGATTTCAGTACTTGACATTTAGGTTCATATTTTGATATACAATCTTTTTCGACCATCTGAAGATCCGGCACATTATTTTGTGTTCCCCTATCGTACAGTTCTTGCAATTGTTTAACTTGTTCTGGATTCGTAGCTACTATGAGTTTTCCAATTTTCTTATGTGGTATATTATGTTTGCAAAAATAGTCATAGCATAACTGGAAACCTTCCACACATAGTTTCGCCTGCAATTAGTTCCTGCCGGATCAAAAATCTCTTAACGAAGCGTTATTCTACTATACAATTAAAAATTCCATGCTACAGCTATAATAACATTCCATTCGAAGGTAAAAGCCGCATTGAAAAAATCATTACTGTCTGTTTACTTTCATACTGCCGGGTTTATAATAAATTCCAGCATGGACTACGCCACTGTTGTGTCCTGTCTGGTGCATGGCTAAATTTTTCTCCTTCTCAACGATCGCCACCTTTAGTTTAGGGTGTCTTATTAACATTTCTCGAGCAGTGGCGCACCCAACTATGCCACCTCCGACGACTACTAAATCGAACGTTCCGCATGAATCTGTGCTAAAAATGTTTCATATGTAATTTCGTTTACTTTATACAATTTCAAGATTGCGAGGGACATATCAAGGGATGTCCTTGAATTTATGTAAGTTGTTTGGCTATAAATCTGAAAGCCATTTGTAAAATGATGAAATAACAAGAAAAAAAGAAGAGATAATACGCGTTGTGTAATGCATTAAATGTCTTAACATCGATGAACCAGCTAACCTGGAAGCGGATCCATAATGCCGTATATGAGCAAGTTGTCGAAATACGATCCTTTTTGTCAAGGGTGCAAACATATTTACCGTCATATTGTGACTGATCGCATCAAATTTGGCGCTGATGATTTGCTTAAAAAAAAAAAAGAATGAAAAATGTATCTATTATAATTATCGATAGAACTATGTATTCTGTTTAATGGTTAAATGTTAAATATCTAATTTTTTTATTAGTAGAATGTAATTTTCTATCGACAAATAACTAATACCGTGTTAATTAAATTATCGGTATATGTATACATATTATGTCGAACATGACGAGATACAACTCTACTTTTATATACATACATATGTACGAGCTGATACGAGTTAACGTTAGAAAGTTTAACAGTATTTTTTTTATGCAGTTTTTAGAAGAAAAATATTAACGTAGGACTATATTATATTCTGTTCAGTTCAAACAACCGCCATCTCTATAGCCGTTACCTTTCTTTAATATTTAAAGTATTTATTCGTTTGAAAAGTACATCTCGATATTAACATCATAGTTGAATCATGTGTCCTTATTATGTAACGATTGATTTTTTTTATTAACCTTGTAACAAGGTCTATACCAATATCGTATTGTATAATACTTACAATACTAGATGCACGCTTATGATAGGCGCGTGCGTTAGTTACCGGAGATAATGCACTTGAATAAAGAACGGTATACAGCGTTGTTTTACCGGTAAATTTTTTTTCAAGAAGTACTTTTGCACATGGTTTCCTATATGAAATGCTATCTACTCGTACATTTCTTTGCTTACTAAACTAACATATGGTTCTGACGTCATTTTCAGGGTTTGCCCGATGTCGCTTGATAAAATCGGAGTAATTTGGTACGTGGCGCCTCCACGTTCGGTTTCTGACATCGCTAAGTTCGACGACATTATCATTGGAAATAAATTGTATGTACAACAATTATTTAAATTAATAACGAAAAGATAAAGTTTTAACGTTGTTCAATGTTTAAAGTAATGTCACGATTAAATTCGCGTTTCAGAAAAGATCAAACATAACACAAATATAAAGTATATACATATACAGAAATTTAAATGCTATCGGTTGTATCATATCATATGCAATAAATCTTTTTTTCGTGCCACTTTTTATAAAATCCACGCACACTCCCTCTCCCTCTCTCTCTCTCTCTCTCCCCTTCTCATAGGTGATATCTATTTTTTTTACTTAATAATTTTTTGTTTTTATTTGTACTTACAGAATATAGATTTTTCTAGTTCGAAAACGAATAAAGAGGAAACAGATAAATGGAATTGGGTGAACAGAAAAAAACAGCAAGGGGTTATAGGTAAGAGACAGAGAAAGAGTAAAATCTTCCCACCAGGACTGTACTTGTAATGTCATAGAAACAATAACAATGAACTAGCAGTCATTTGAATCTGGAAATTTTCAAATAAAAGTATCTTCAAAGATATGAGTTACAAGCATTATGGTAATTAAGTGACAAATAAGTGATTTTTTTATAAGATCTCAATCAAGTTAAATACGCATAGTATAATTTCATTACGATATCGGATTTAATCTAATCGGAGTTAGAAGTACGAATATATTGAATAAATATAGAAGAAAGAAAAACAGATTGGAAATAGCAAAGGGGTTTCGGAGAGCGAGCATCGTCCCTGAACCATGATGCGCGATCGTGATGCGCACACGTACTTGGGCGCCGAGAGTCAGTCAACCCAGTGACGTCTAGAAGTGTGTGTCGTTCGGATGGATTATCGTGCCGGTATTTAGAAAACTCGTATGAAATCGTGAATTTATACATGTCCAAATATATAAACGAACAAATCGTATAAACATACTACCCGTTTGGATGCTCGTCGCGCGAGATAAAATTAGGGAAAAGCAGAAAACGCGAATCGCGTCGGTGCGTCATTTGGAAACTGGATCGGTAAATAATGTGAAGTTGGCATATCGACGATGAATTTCTGAAAATGTGTTTCGTGTGTGCAATCGACGAATGAAAATACACTTAGAAAGAACAGCTCATGGAAATGGTCAGAGAAAATAGAGGAGGTTTGATTTAAAAATGCATCACGAAGAGGTATTGTGACGGAGAAGACGCCATCGAAAAAGGATTTGGAGATTTTATTCTGGTGGGGACGTTTTATTGGTTTGACAGGAAAAACGGAAACGACTGGTGACAGAAGCAAGTAGTGTTCGAGTGTGTAATGAAAGAGAAATTGGAAAAAAGCAATTGCAACGGCGAGAGTTAATGCGAAGAAGCGGAGGAAATTGACCATTGAAATCAAAGAGGAAAAAGAAAGAGGAAAAGAGGATCGTTGAAATTGAGGGAAACCGAAGTTGAACGAAGCGCGAAGTGCGCGCGCGGCCGTTTGTTAGATTTAACCGAGGATGGAGGACGAATTACGATGTCCTTGTTGCAAGGAGCTATTCGTCGAGCCGGTACTGTTGCCTTGTTGGCACGCTCTTTGTCTATCGTGTGCGGTTAATTTGCAAGCACCGCCGGACTCGCCGCCAGAGTCGACGACCGATTCGTCGAATGCCCCAGGATCTGATCAGGAAGCCGATAAACTTTCGATTTTATCGGAGACCGATTCGGGGGTGGTGTGCAGCAGCACGTCGACCAGCTCGCGACCAGGAAGCTATGTCGGCACACCCGGAAACGGTGGTTTTCCGCCGTCAGGCGGCACTTTGTGTCTTTCTTGCCCCGTTTGTCAAAAGACCGTGTATTTCGATGAAGGTGGAGCACACAATTTGCCCAAGTACAGGGCAATGCAGCATATCGTGGAAAAATATCAAGAATCGAGGAACGCAAGATTACAGTGTCAGATGTGCGAGGGTGAACCCCGAGATGCTACCGTCGCCTGCGAGCAATGCGAGGTTAGTCAAATTTTTCATCTTTTACGGTTTAATAAATCTTTAATAAATTACAAATTATCCAATATATTTCTACGTCTAGTATCGTCGCACGTACCGACGTACCATTAAATATATCATTTATTGCGTTGTTAGACGATTACGTTTTCGGGCTCGTTTCTTCTCGTCACGTTTTTCGCTTATAGACGTTAACCTCTATGCTCTCAGTGCGCACGTTTTCTTCGTTTATTTGTGGGAGCCTCGCGTTCCGAATACAAACACGCCGAACTTGTCGGAAATCAACTTTCTCGAGTCACGCTGTACGTATAGAGGCAAAGACGGTGTTCGTTGGTGAATAACGTGAAAGACAGAGTCGGAGCTCGAGAGCTGGAGCCGATGCGGTTAATATACTCGTGGTCGTTTGTTTGCCTCTTGATCCGTAGATACGTAGATCCGTGTTGGGTACCGTTTTCGAACGTATGGTACGATACTCGGTGGTGAAGGTGGTATTAAAGTGACGGTCGAAAGCAGACATGTACTTATGTACAATTTCGTTGCTATTTCCCTGCAGTCGTAGAATATTTGTTTCCAATCGAGACTAGAAAACGATTGTGCGGAGATGCTGAAAAGGACAGGGGCTGCAAACGAGATGGATAGAGAAGGTTTTATAGGAAGGATCGTGGGGTTTGTTTCAGGTGTTGTATTGCGACGGCTGCAGAGAATCCTGTCATCCGAAGAGGGGACCTTTGGCTGCTCACAATCTGGGCCCACCTCGTGGCAGCTGGCAATCGAACGGAGGCAAAGGTTCTCGTGGTCCAGCCACGGAAACAACACCAGTTTGCAACGATCACAACGGTGAACCGTTAACTCTATACTGTGCTCTCTGTAAAATCGCGATATGCGCGCTTTGCCTCCGAGATCGTCACGCTGCCCACCCACACGACATCTTACCATTGGCTGCTGCTTGTAAGGCCCAGAAGGTCAGTGTCTTTCGTTTCTCTTTATGTTTATGTACCTCACTTAATCGGTTCTCTGTTTGCGTTAATTGTCGACGCAATGTAATGTCACGCGTGATCGAGTCAGCGATTTATCGATAACCTTGACGGAACTGGTTCTAGAGTCGATTCAGGGAACGCGATCGGTATTTCCGTTTTCACGTTCGGCCGCTAACCTACGGATCATCGACCGCAGGCTAGAGCAACCTTGTAGTTTTCATAGCGCGTCTCCTTCCAATGGAGAAGTTTCATTTTGTAGGCGTTTAGTGGAAGGGGGAAGGCAGCGAGTCTCCCCGGGCGCCTTTAATTCGGGTCGGCGACCGCCAGGTGGCAGTGGGATTGGATCTGTTCTCTCGCTGGCGGTCCCCCGGCATGAGCTCCAAAAAGTGAAGTTATAGGCGTCTGGGGCAGGGATCGTCTGTCGTCAGCCTCATTGACGAGTTTGGCAGACGATCCCGAGACGAAACGCCTTTATCTCTTCCTATAATTTCAAGTATAAGAGAACAGTTCCGTTCCTCCTTCATGGTACGAAATCAGAATTTTTTATGGTTAACCCTGTGGGTAAAAGGTATTCCGTTAGTTACAACTAGGTAGGATACGGAGAGACGGATGATCGAGCGATATCGCGGTAAGAAACAGAGCTCGTACGAGCGTGGAACAAAGGAAGAAGGCGGACAACTGTCCGATATCCCGTGTATAACGTATCGCGAAACTGTTTCCAGGTTGCTCGTTCTCTGCTACACTTGCTTTTTCTTCCTTTCTACCTCTCGACGTTTCGACTCGTTTCGTTGTCTCGTCTTCTCGAACCAGCTTCTCCTCTAAACTACTCGTTGCTCTGCCGTTGTTCCTTCCTGCATTTCCATTCTTTCCCTGCTCTTTGTTTTCGCACGAGGAACCCGACTCTCGTACTCTGCTGCTTCTCCAACAGTTGGTCGGATGGTTTGCAACACGTACCCGAATGAGGATACCTATGTAGAAAGAGTATAACGTGTTTTACGTCTAGCAAGGATTTTTATTTTCTGAATTCCTTAAATGTGTAAAAGTATAATAAATCGTCTGTTAATTTTCCTGGCCTACGGGCAAGCGGTGAAATAATTGGTACACGTAGAGCGGCTGTTTCCTGTCGTATATTGTTCCGAAATAAAAGGAATCGTCCACGTGACCATTTTGAGTACAATCGAGAGCACGAGAGGAATTGGAGCGCGCTCGGAACTCGACAAGTGTCCTTATTATATTTTCACCCCTGAATATTCTTCGTCTCGCACCCTTTCGCGGCCTTTCTTTGTGTTTAGCCGTTTCTTTCTATATTCCCACGCTACCACTTTTGATAAAACACCGTGCTACTCTGTTCGAGAAATCGACGATCTTGCGCCGTGTTTGCGAAAACATCGATGTTTTCGGCGTTCGAACGGAGTCTCGAGCAAACACGAGGCAAGAAATGCAGCGATTGAGAAGGATTATCAAACATCCCGAAGGTGATCCTTTCTTCTTTTGTTTGAACCAGGCGCCACGTGTCGGTCTTTAAAAAGCCTCGTTGATCGTTTTAGATCTACGTGCATAAATAATCGCGTTTTGTAAACGAAGCTTTGCGAACGATCGTTACGAATTGTATTGAAATAGTTTAACAGTTATGACGTAAAATACGAATTCTAGCGTTCTATGTAAGTACATATTCCGGTTTTCGTAAGTGTTCTAGACGAGAGCAAGATTCGAATAGAAGCAGAGGCAAAAGCAAAAGTTTCCAGAGCATACGAGCATCTATACAGGTCGCGTACCATTAGATTCCGTAAATGGAAAGTTGCTGTAAAATGGCGTCGTTCGTGACACAAGGTATACATATATGTATGCACGACTTCCAAGACGTGTTTGCTGTTCGTCCGGCGTGAGACGTTCAGGCTGCGAGAACGTCCGTGAATTTTCAAAGAAAA